GGCACGATGCCGTTTTCTCTGCCCTGCCCCCCCATCCCCCCCCCTCCAAGACAAATGACGTTTAAAAAGATGTGGCTGGTATTTTCGGGGGGTGCAAAATACAAGCTTTGCCGCCTCACTTTAAAAAGAGGGGCAAGCAACCCCCCTGCCTCCCCCCTCCAGTTGGTATGCCCATGTACGTCATCCCTCGTCGCACGTGCGTCTTATTCTTTCGATGTTCCTCCGTTCACCATGATAGGTGTTTGACTGGGGTAAAGCACTGGGCATTCTATTTTTAGTTTCCTGTGCTTTAGTACTGCAGTGAAAACAGTATGCCTCCGTACGGAGCTTCGACACTTCAATATGAAAAGTGCTTATTTAGCACTACTATGCATGTCACATTTTCGTGCTTTTATAAAATGTCATGCGACAATACATTCCACCAAATGAACACAACACGTGAAACGGGTTTTACTCTGTTACCCAAACGACACGAAGCGAGCCGACAAGCCGAGGAACCTGTGTTGTACACCTACTGTAGAAAGGTTTCTAAAATGCGTCGACTTCTGTAGAAAACAAGTTACGAAAAGAGCACTGCTTCGGCAAATCAACGATTTCGTTGTGTTTAAGTTTGTGTCACAAAGGTTCAACTGTTTGACTGGAAGGTCACAATCAGGGTGTCGAACCGGAACCGAACCGAACCGAAAACCGGAACAGAACCGTTATTTTCAGCCGAACCGGAACTGAACCGAACCGAAATCTTCGCCGCCATCTTGGAACTGAACCGGAACTGAACCGGAAAAAAATATAACGGTAACCGGATCAAAACGGTTCACGGTAATTTTTTTTGTTAGTATTACAAATTTATTATTTGGGAATAAAAAATTGGCAAGTGTATTCCTCTACGTATTGATCAAATCGTCATATACAGAATTCCAATGTATAATAAATCCTGGTTTTTTGCGGCGCTTTTTTATTGGCACTATGAATAGCCATGTGTCACATCGTCACGTGACGTCATAATGTCAAGACATGCTGTCAAGTAATGTCACATCACGTGACCCCGTGACGTCACGTGACTCACCGCGTAAAGTCGATTCAAATTGAGGACGTCGCTAGATCTATTAACGTTGTTGATACCGTGACGTCACATGACATTACAACTTCGCACTGAGAGTCCCGTGACACCATGATGTACCCGATTGTCATGATTCCGAGTCAAATGCTCTGGTTCATGACAACCAGTATCGCCAAACATTCGGGTAACGGCTCGTGTTCAACTCAAAGATAATGATGGGCCCGAGTCCCACTAGAACTAGAAACAGAAACAAACGAAAGCGACAAGCCTCAGACACATGCAGCATGTTCGCGATGGTACCTTTATACGGCTTTGAGTTGTTCGGTGCTCGCGAAGTTAGCACGAGTGTTTACAAGCCTGCAAATGGTACCATCCTGTGCATGATACTCGTGTTTGAGCATAGCCTTCTTTATTCTACAAAGCCTGTCAAATCGCGAAATACTCTGGTTTAAGGCTAGCCGCTGTCGTTTGTTTCTGCTTGTCGCTTTAGTGGGGCTCGGGCCCCATTATAGCCAAACTAAAACTATATCTGAAGATTAGCCCATGCTCTGCTTTGCCATCTGAAATTGGAAAACAGAAAATTGGAAAACATCTGAAATTGGAAAAAGCAAAGTGGCTGCTTTGCCAGCCCTGCTTATGACTATGATAAACACTGACGCTGCATATATTAGGATCAGATCACGTGGCTGATAGTTCTAATTGCGAGTTGAGGAGGGGAAAGCTTTTTCATTTCTTTCTTTCGACTGTCTCCCATTTCTCGGAGGGGCAAACTAATGGATGCTTTTGCAAGTTATCAACGTCAGGGATCACAACTTAGCGGTATTTATTGAACTGAAGGTAAGAAAAATGCTGCACGAACCCATTTTACATGTATGCACACCATTGAGGCTCCCAAACATGTTTTCGTTATTGCTGAACTGCCTCAGAAAGTTGTACCGAGAATAGAAGTGTTAAAGGGTCTAAATGTGACGTATTAGTTCGACGTTACATGGAACTATTAGTGTGTACGTGAGGGATACCTGAAAAGAAAGATCCTAGTGGCCTCACGGGGATAGCCAAACGTTGGCAGCCGCTCTAAGTCTCACAGGAGTGTCGTTCTCAAGTTCTCCAAGTTTCGACCGCCCTGTATTTTGTTTAACCTTCACAGTTTGGTGCAAAGTAAAAGCAAGGAAGAATTACTGTTAACGAGTGACATAAATATAATTGTCGAGTGAACACCACTCAATACGGAGCAGGCAATCCCTGAGGAATAAAAAGTATCTTGAGGAGCAACTAAAAAAAAAAAAAAGGGAGTGGGGAGGGGGGTAGTTTCAAAGCATACTGTGTCGTAAAGATTCCTCTACCCCGCACTTTCGGCGCAGACTAGAAAGCGTGGCCTGGAAACGATAGTGACAGATGGGTAGTTGGTACAACTTTTATTTGTAAAAACACTCTTGCCAGAAAGAACGTTTTGCCGTGCCAGATACTCGCGCCGTGCCTAACGACGATGCACCAAAAAGAAAAATGTGTGCATCTCAAATACATAGCTTGCACTGAGCGCGAAAATTTTGCAGCGTGCATTTTGCCCCATCGGATTTGATTTTCTCAGCAAGAACAACTCGCAATGACAACCAGTATCTAGTGCGATTACGTCACGTGCAAAACATGTTAAATACTTCAGCTTTCTGGTGAAGTGCGACGTTCGCAACACTAGCAGTAGACGTCCAAGGTGTAAAGTTGTGTAGCATTTATAGCAGTCTCGCGATGATATACGGCAGCCTAATGAAATGTAGCACATGACTGATAAAGAACAGAGTCGTGAAGTAAGGTCCCAAAACAAGTGCACGTAAAACCTAAGATAACATTAGCCTCCCGAGGTAGTATCTCGCGACGTTTCGAGCTGAGGCAAGCTGATGCCCAAAAGTGATTTATATTAGGATTCTAAAAATCTTCATTTGCCCTGCGCGGAATCTATGTTTAATTAGGAATATCATTTTATGCATTTCTATGCATTTCTTTTTGCAGTAAAGCGTTGTGTAAGGGATTATTTAGAAAAAATTGCGTGTCATCTCCTTATTTCTGCACATTTCGTGTATTTGCCTACCGATATATCATGTGACCACAGTGTTTTTTGGCATACCCTGCAACCCAGTATTTTACACTGCAAAACAGCTAACAAAAGCACGTTGCCGAAGACTCAACAGCTGGCGTATTTTCGAGTATCGTCCTTCCGCGTCGGTCTCAGGCGGTTGTGTGAACTTCATAAAGTCAAATTTATCGATGATAATACAAATATACTTAATTCCTGTCTGAATATTTGGCAGCATAAATAGAAGATCCTCACCTCAAAGATATATAAGTAAATGCACCTTTAAATTATCTGAAAGATGTTCTGCAAATCTTTTTCGGCGCTTCTATCCTCTATAGACACGTTATAGGTGATTTGGAAAAGCTTTAAATAATGTTTTTTTTTTTTATTTTGAAGCTAATTTAAATAACTATATGTGTTCCTCACGCATATATAACTTTTCAAATATATAGAAGTTTATTATCGCGTTTTTTATGTGTTTTTATTATCGCATTTTTTACTGGAACAAATGATAGAACTATGACGATTGCACACTTAAACTCTCAGAAAGTGTCCAATTAAGTAGCTTCCGAATCGAGTAGAGCATGAAATCCCACTTTGTTCTATTTAACAAAAATCATGAATTAGAGAGGGTGATGCTTATTTGCAAATGAAATTGACCGGCATTTTGTCAAGAGCAAACCTCAGAACCAGGCTATGCCAGTTTATCCAATATAGAAAATGTTCACATGGGTAAGCACTGTTGCTTACCCATGTTTAGGTCAGATTCGATCTCAGTACGAAGGTGCTCATAGGTTAGAGTGAACAATTTCAGCCACTCCTTTTCGCATGATTCGTCGCCCGCATCATGGTGCTGAGGGCAAACGATGCTAGTTAGAAAAAAACAAGCATTGCGATTGTCGCTTAGTGTTTTTATAAAATATAGAGTGGAAGGACTTGTCCCGTGACTTTCGTGACATTTTTAAAATTATATTGCCTTAAGCTCAGTCGTCTCGTCATCATATATATTGTGAAACGTATTCCGTAAAACGCATTTTATGGTATATATGGCGACGAGGTGCCCATTTCATGATTTTATTCACTGTAATTATTTCTTAGTTCAAGGGCCAAACCACGATTCAACATCTAATACTGCGATACAAAGTTGTACCAATCACGGGTATTTTAGGCAACCTACTTCACTTCGCGAAAACATTTCGATTCAGGTACAATGTATGTGACTCTGGCAAACGAAGGAATGTTGAGTCGTATAAACACGACGTTCTGTATGTTAATGTAGATTTTCCTTTCTTGTTGTGTAGGTATAAATAAAAGAATTTTATAATTTTTGTACCTGAAAATAAAACTGGATTCAACAAACGATAAAAAAAAAAAAGAAAACTATATACTGTAAACGACTTATATTTCGTGGGCTCAATATTTCGCGATTTAGGTCAAAGCTGAAGTTTTGGAATAATTCGCGGGTTGCATTTTTCTCGACGCGGTGGAATCTCACTATGAATTGCAATCTGTTTACATTTTACCGAAATTGTTCGCGGGACCCATTTTTCGCGAATTGTAGGCGATTCGCGAAATTCTCAAAAATAGGTCCTCGCAAAAATCAGATCGTTTAGAGCCGTTAATTTCATGGCCTAAATAGTGCCTATTGACAGAACAACACGGAAAATAAATTCTCAATTTAGCGGTTCAAACCGGTTCGAACCGGTTCGAACCGGTTTGAACCGTTATTTTTTGCGCCCCGGAACTGAACCGGAACTGAACCGAAAGCCGTGAACCCGAACCCGAACCGAACCGATAAAAATATCGGTTCGACACTCTGGTCACAATGCCACTTTGCCATAGTGATTTACGCTGGTGCCTAACGTACCATTGCAGCAATCAAGCGACTGCTCCCACTGCACAGCGAGGTACTGGACTGTCTCGTCAGTGTGCTTCAGGGAAGGCAGTTTGTGCACTGTCACGCCTTCACCCCCTACAACTACTACCTCCGTAAGTACACCAAATATTATGTAATCCTTCGAGCACTGAGATGACCGTGGAAAAAGGGCACTCACTTCAGCAGTTCCGAGATGGTGGAAAGACAACCGTATGCTCATGATTCAAACAGTTCTCGTATGGTTTCTAAACAGACCTATCCTAGTAGTGTCATACTTTGAAGGTAAAGACGCCCATCATGGTCTAGGCATCTTGTGCAAGGGCCTTACAATCCAAAAGGGGAAAAGACTATCATTATAACACATGGAAACAAGTTTTAAAATTCCACTTTCATATGCTCTAAAGGCCTGCTCGCACGCTTTACTTGCTTAGGACTGAGTTCTCACAACATTTTTTACAACGAGAGGACACACTGGGATGCTTGTGCCATCTACGACATGACTCTGGAACTGCATTTTACTAGAGCGAAAGTCAATCATTTAAGGCTGCCATATCTAGGGCATAGACTACTTGAGTTTTGGACACAAGGTTTGTTTCAGTGTTTGGTCTTTTGTGAAATACATCATCGGGAGTATAGCAAATAAGAATACAAAAAAAGCAAAAACAACTTACCAACTTGTTCTTTTGAATTTTGTACTTAAAATTCAAATTAACGTGTCAAAAAAAAAAATATTTTGGCCTTCCTTGAATACTGATTTAACTTGAGATATTTTTGTTCACCGAGGGAATGTATCCCATACTGATGTAAAATTAGGCAGGGATGAAAGTGCTGCACCATTTGTGCCAAATTGCACTATTAGCGAATGTCTGGAGTAGTATATGCTTTGAACTTCACCAATGTTTTATGATTGTGTATGCTTATTTGCAGCTCCAGCGATCTATAGGAGGCGCTCTGGTCAGGCAAAATGGCAGACGAAAGGAGGTCCTTTTCGTCGTTCAGCACGCGGAGCACCACAAATTTTTTGGAATGCAGCATAAAATCGGTGTTAAGGGGAGACACTGCCCAGAAAAAAAAAATTTCTGCAAAAAAGTTGATTTTGAAAAAGGACATATTTACATCCACCAACATCTAGAGAGTATTCCTAAAAAAGTTTAATTAATTTTCACTGCATAGTTATTTTTTTATAAATTATTTTCTGTCCACCAAAGCTAAAGAAAAGGTAGGGTTTGGAGTACTTTGAACGCATTTTTCTCCATTCCACTTTTTGGTATAAATTCCATTTTAGTCAATCTATCGTTTGATAATGGCAAAACAGGGAAGGCTCATTCTTCCCTTTTCCTGACTGAAATTTAATAAGGAATGCGGCTATGGAACTTTTTTGTCACTTAACGAATGTCTTTTATAAAAAATGTTGACATTTTGTCGAAGACACAGAAGACCAAAAAGTTTACCAATTTTGCAGAAGAGAAAATTTATAGGAATAAATTATACTTCTTAGAAAAAACGTTCCATAGCCACACCCTCTAGGCATTCTGCTACATATCTAGTGAATAAAAATCTTGAATATTGTGATAGTTTTCTGACGATAGATTAACTAAACAATGTAGGCGTGTTGCTGATGGAAGCTACTCTAATTTCCTTCTCATTTAACCGACAGACCTGAAATTTTGTTATACACCCTCTAGCATGACCACCAGCCTACTGTGTAAATTTCATTAATTTTAAGACAAGGGTTCAAAAGTTGACCCCCCTAGGGGGTGTGTCCCCTTAATGAAAGAAAAACCAATTTTTCGACGGTAAAAACCTTCTTTTAGTCAGTGCGTAGGAATGACACGGCGGAAGCATAAAATAAATTACTGGAAACGATGTTTGCCTACGAGAACCAAGCAGTGGTAGCAGACGACGGAGTCGAAACGACCTCCTCTTCTGAGCTCCTCGGCGTTGCCGCCATGCGGCATTGGTTTCCCTGGAGTCGCCAATAGATATGCTTGTGAAGAGGAAAGCGTAAAAAATTGCTTGGTATATGTAGCTATTCCTATAGAAAATCGCTACGTTGCCTCACATCATATTTAAGTGAATTTCTGATAACTCAAACTTTTGATATTTCAAACCAAAGTCTGTGGCGTTCTGGCAGCAGTAGTAGTGGTAGTAAACAATCTTTATTTGCCCAAAAAGGTATAGCAACCGACTGAAGCTCACTCCTTCAATTACCCCTCAGATGACGACTTGAACCCTTGGGTCCTGGTGGCGTCCTCAGCCAGTTGGACTAAGTGTTCCTGCACCTTTGGGTCGGTGCAGAGGAGTAGAGCTTCCCAGCTGTCTTGACTGTTGATTTTTTCAAGTAGGGGTTGAGCCTCCCGGTTTATCCGGTTGCGGTCCCACATCTTGTGTCGAAGGTTAGCTTTACCTCTGCAGAGTTTGCAGGTTGGCTTGTATCTGTCTGGATATCACTTGCTTAGTAGGGAAGGACCGGGGTAAGAGCCCATCTGGAGGCGTTGCCATGCCACCGATGTCTTCATGTCTAGCGAGGAATGCGCAGGAGGGTAGTGCAGTCTCGCGCTGTTATGGTGGTCGAAGATGCCTCTGAATGTGACCAGCCTGTCGCCCCCCGTCAATGGTGGCTTCCTTGAGTTTGAATTAATGACAGTCCACTGTAAGCTGAAGGAGACCCTCTAACTTAGGGAGTGATTTCCTTCCCGATTTCAGACTTTGAGTGCATCCTCGACCCCTCCAGACGTCCTGTCGCATTTGTGAATGAGGGAAAGCCTTTGGGGGATCAGCCCCTCTTATCAAAGGACTTGGTCTCATACTCCCTTCCATCCGGGCACCAAAGGTCTGTGTTACTCTTTACAGCCTCGATAGCATCATTTCATTTAATCTCATAACAGGGTCGAGGAACTGATTGGGCTAGTTAGTACATAATTATAAAAACGTAATAGGGTGCTAAAATAGGCAAGGGACACAACGAACAAAGTGCACATTCAAAGGCACTGACTTTAAACTAACAGTCAGTGCCTTGTATGTGTACTTTGTTCTTTCTGTACTTTGTCTATTTTAGTGCAGTTTTAGCTTTTTGAAGTGTAAAAAAAAAAGCATTAAATTGATGCAGAAGTGGAATTAACGGACACAAAAGTACTATATATAGTAACTGAGCTACTTAAAATGATGCTTACATTATCTGACACTAGACTTCATCGTTGTCTAAAAGGGTTCTGAAATCTGTTTTATCAGAAAATGCACCAACCGTCAGTTGACAGCTTTGTAGTGCAGCGTATGTTAGAAAGTGACATTCTTGAGAACTTAACGTTACAAGTCTGTGAACTTTATGGATGACATCCGAGGAAAAAACGAATGATTAATTTGTCTCAACTAAGGGCTTTTCAGCATGTAAGGGGGTACCTAGAAGTTTCTAAGATTGGCAGGCAAAGCTCATCCAGAGACAGTATAGTCTAGGTCATTATCTGGAGCTTACATAGTTTCATTGTGAGTCTATGTGGCAAGTTCCACAAAGATGAGGGAAAGCATTAATCTTTTTATAAGGAGTTTTGTAAACTGGTGTTGGTTTTTTTAATTTTTTTAGAAAGGATGCTTTGACAGCTTTGAAAAAGAAACGAAGATGCCTCAGGTCCATTTTTAAACTATGCGACTCATCACAAATTATAAAAACTCTTGCTTGTTATCACTGATGATGAAATCTAGATTTGCAGCTACAACCTAGAAACAAAGCAGCCATCGACTTGGTCGCACATTGGATCAATTGCATTCGATCCTCATGACATTGCTCCGGCCCGTAAAAGCAGTGTGTTTGCCAAGGTACAAATGGTGTACAAACACAATAGTGTGATGTTTGTTTTGTTTGTCCTCTGCTTGTGGTTCAAGATGCTTGGTCTATGTTCACCCTTACCTAAGTTTTCCTTTCTGTCGGCAGCTTTCTCTCTATAGTTTTCAACGTGGCAGCCCTTTGGGCAGATCCAGCAGGTACTATCAATCACAAACTAATTCCTCCCTTAATTGTGGAAATACATTTCATCAACCTATTCTTATTTATATTTTTAACTTGGAAATTTGTGGATACATATACTTATATTTATGCTCACTGTACACCAGTCTTATTCATGCAGGGTTGAAAATTTTGGGGTAAAATCTGTTCTAGCTAGAACTCTAAATTTCACTTCCCAGTTGGAGAAAGTACTAAAGCTTGCACAAATACAAACTGCAGGGTGGCTGTCATTGTCCTCTGGGAGACAAACTTTTGTGAGAACTTCCCCCAATTGACCGGCTACCAACTGCTGAAGAACAGGCACCTTGAAATTCTGGGCTACAAGCTGGTATTGGTAAGTCCGAACCTGTTGAGCCTCACCCACAAAAGAGCTTCTCGTCATGTTAGACCAGTGTCGGGCTCTTTTCTAAATGTTGCTCGAAAGAGGTCTTGCGATAAGCCTCGTAACAACAGCCAACGACTCGCTAAGCCTCTAGGCAATATTTCAGCTTCTACCCTGAGACTTCATCCGTTTAGTTTTTAGGGTTAGTGCCTCTTCCAGGTTCTAATATTTCTGGGCTTTTCTTAAGGCATCGGTTATGAAACTTTGTGGCGGCCATGTAGGTACCCTTCCAGTTCTCGGCATTGATGCAGTAAAGCTGTGCAGAAGCCTGCAGGCCCTCTAAACAATCATTCACATACTAGAGTAATTGGCTCCTAGCTACGCATCAGTGGGTGGCTCGAATCATCTAAAATAGTGCTTAAGCAGGAAAAACACATTGCATAGAGGCAGAGATGGTCAGGGAATTTTCTGTTCTCTGGGAACCCCTAAGGGTGCTCTGGTGAACCCTATGTTTGAGAGCCCGCGGGTCGCAGCAAGCTTTGTACGTGGAGATTTACGGCATCCATGTGATGTCCAATCTTGGAAAAATTGTAGGGAACCATAAAGTCTTCCCACACGTTTCGAAAGAAGTGTATTTGGTTTTCTTGGCTAAGAATAAAAACGGCACCATTTTATTATTTACGTAAAGTTGCATAGTCGGACGAGTGGGTCGGATTGAAGAAGCTCTGTTGGCACAAGCATGCCGACGCGCTCGACGCATTATCAAGTACTTTCAATTCACAGCTATGTCGAGCATACAACCACCTTCTCGATGGTGAGCTCTAGTGCCGCTCTTGCCGACGGTATTCACTGGCAACAGTGGCTACACATAACTGCTGCATGCGAGAACTAGCAAGAGCCCCCAGAATTTCCGACGGGCACGATTCTTTGGGAAGCAATTCCGAGGTGGCACATTCTCGCACGGCCGGTTCGCACAAACAGCACATTGCCGAAAAACGCAAAGTCAGCTACAACTCAGCACTGGGTTAAGACTGCATTATGCGTGTAAACTGTAAAAGGCCAAGTCACGCATGCGGCGGAGCACCGATAGCATTAAATCGGTGCAGGGGCATTGGGTTAGTGCTGCACCGTATGTGTGAACAGACCTCTGTGGTCCAAGAGCAGCGGTGTGCATCAAGTTCCCCAGTTAAATTTAGCCTGTTTGCATTCTCAACTGTGACTCGAAGATAGAAAGAACTAAAACCTGCTATAACTAAAATTACTTCAAACCACAATCTACCTACCACTCTTTTATAAGATTGAGGGATGGATATATGTCCAATTTATGCCAAGCCTTTTAATTGTTGTTCAGGAAAAGCTGAAATCTGTGCATGCTTCTGTGTTCGTTTTTGTTTTGTCTTTTTATAAACTTTACATTTTCCTATAAAGCAGGGTGATTTCAAATCAGATCGACCAAAGGGTGACTGGTCGACATTTTTAAATCAACTGATGTTTTTATATGCTATTGTCTAGTGTCTGATATAAATGAATCCACATTTAGTTTTGACCAGAAAAAAATTTGGAGACACGAAAAATTCTAAGGCATGAAGAGGTGGACAGCTGCATTAAAGCGGGAGACACATGTACGACGAAACCTTCCGATCCGATGTGCGGACTGCCGGAATGACCTTGGGGGGTGAGGGTTTTCGTAGCATCGGAGAGCGTTGAAAACCCTCGCCTCCGACCGTCGTATTGCGCGGTCGGACGTTGGATCGGACGGTTTCGTCGTACATGTGTTTCGCGCTTAACGCGCACTGATGGAGGGGGCACGTTTGAAAGGGAATAACTAAAAGGATAATTTTAGGATAATTCTATAAGGATAATGTTAGGATAATTCTAATACTTTTTAAAAACAAACTATGGGCACAGCTTGCTTGTAATACGAAGTAATTTTTTTTTTATTTTATTTATTTTTCTAAAAATTGCCAAACATGCCTGCTTGAACGACAAATGGCAAAATTTGGAGGCCTGTATCTCATGAAATAATTTAATCATTATCATATAATTTGCACGTCATATTCTGCTTATATATGGCTATTATATAAAAAAAAATAAGGTATCTGAGTGATACGATAGACGGGATATATTTGGGCAAACTTGGGAAAAAAATCAAACAACAGAAAATTCCTATGCAAATAAAAAAAAAAACACCACTTTCGATTTTTTTTAAGTTTGGGTACCCTGTCATACTCTATTTTGACATTCATTTCTATGAAAAACATGTTGCATTATTTTATACAGAAAGAAGACACAACTCTTCAAAGTAGGGTCCTTTTTCAAAGCCTCCACTTAGCAGTGCCCCATACAAGAAGTGACTCTGAGTTCCAGTTTCAGGAAACTAACCCACATCTTTTATATATTTTTTATTCAGATGAGATCACTGACAACTAGAGCAATTGGTCACACACTTAAAGTGAGGGGAAACTATATACAGCATTTTACATGCAACGTACAAAGAGGTATCATATTAGAGACTAGTGATTCGAGAACAGATGATGCAGTGTGACTGTGAAGTTTTACTTTCCGGTATAATTTACATTTAAAATAAAAGAAACAACCTTACTTCCACACACAAAAGTAAAGACAGAATACTAAAATTGTTTAGGTTAGTTATGTATTTCCGGGGACAAACCATTTCAGGTGAGCGGTGCCACCGCGCCGGACTGTAAGAGCTTCGATACTCTCTGTGTACGAATGGATTGAGGCAAGCCGAGATATTTTATCCCACGCGAGGATAACGTTTCGTGATTCTCATATGGTGATCAGATAAATATTATAAGCTATCGCCAAGTAAAATAGTAGGTTTAATACCTCGGGAAGAAAGCTGTGATAAATAAGGTAACCCTTAATACAAAATGAGCAATCCTTGGGGCATCAAATTCGGCACTTTACACTAAGGCTTTCCTCGATGTACCCATTTAATAAAGTTTCTTCTAACCAGATTCGACTGTCCGTGCTACATATACAGTAAAACCTCGTTATAACAAAGTTGAGGGAGTGGTCGTAATTATTTCGTTATAACCATTAGTTTGTTATAGCCAATGTCCATTTCTTCACTATTAGCAAGCAAGGGGAATTACGATTGCTTTGTTATATCCATTAGTTTGTTATATCCCAATTTGTTATAACGAGGTTTTACTGTATGTCACAGGTTCCATCTGTTGATGACTTTGCACAGCTACCACGCATGCCAAGGCTAAATGCCAGGAAAAGCGCGCGCCGTCAGCCACTCTTCTTTTTCTTTTTGACGATATTGAACAAGCTCATTTTCGTCCAGATACGCAAGATGCACCCAGTTTCTAAAATAAGACGCTTACTATTGTCCTGGCCGTCTGAATTGAGTTTATTGAACGTTCTCTCAGGTTGTTCAGCGTGGTCTGGTGCTTCACAAGTCTGCCAACTCCGTCGCATGCATTTTCCCTTGTCCAGATGCAGAAAATAACCTGTTGGGCTTGTGGGCAATCATTCTGTGCAAACTGGCAAAGCTGGTAGTGATTCTTAAAATGGCTGGCGGCCCCGTCACTTACGTATGTCACGTGCGAGTGTACTGCAACATTGTCTTCAACCCACTCTTTCACTTTTTCTAGAGCCAAGCACGTGAGAGCGATGTCGTCACTCAGGTCCTCACTGATGATAGCAAAGCTGTTTGTAAATTTTCTTGTCGTCACTGCACATGTAAATATTGTAACTTTTTTTTCTTCAGTGGTATGCTTTAACTTTGTCAGGAAGCACGATGGTCCAGTTTTCAGCAAAGTCAAAATGAAAGACAATGCTCCCGCGTTGCATGCAGCTGCTTTTCATCGTAGATCGCTTTATCTTGTGTTTGTCGGATATGGTTGTGAAATATCCAACTTTCAACCGTTACTTGAACGACTTTTAGAAAAGTCTCAAAATCCAATGTTTTTTTGTTTTACAAGGTCGTTGGGCTTCTATGTTGTAAGCACAATCTCTTCATCCTCTGGGATATGAAGTTCCTCAAGTGTAAGAGACTGTTTTTTTGGGCAGTGATCACAGTTTCTTAAAGACAAAGACTTGTTAGTGGGTCGCACAGAAATGCCGAGTTCATTTCCCCAGTGTTGAATGTTGAGCCTGTAACGTTCCCTACAGCGGCAATACAAAGGTAATAATTAGCGCAGCGCACACAAACGCACACTTCCTGGTGTGGAATACATTTGAACCATTTAGGGCGGAAGGAATAAAATTTCGTTAGCCCAATGCCGGAATCAGGATGCTTGTCTTTGTATACACGAAGGGCCTCTCGGATTGAGTGTGTCAGGAAGCACCTTGGCACGAACGTTTTCTCCCCGTCGAGCATGACAGAGGTCACGTCCTTCTGGTTGGGACCTTGGCGCGAATATTGTAGCTTGTCCTTCGTGAAGTACTCTAGGGCAGCAGACACATTCTCAGGGCTCACCTTGCATCTCGTGTAAGGATCCTGCTCATACCACACGCCATGCTTTTCCTTACCTAAAACGTAAACGCTGTCACCATGTTAACCTGTTCTAGGTTAACATGGCGACAGTGTTTACGCCCTATTGTATTTAGCGGGGCTCGAGTATTTAGGGGTTCTGCTCTCTGTTGGTGTGCCTCTTTGTGCCCGATATTATCGCCCGTGACGCCAGCGCGGGGGGTAGGCAACAGGCACGATTGCTCAGCAAACAGGCATCGGCGGCCATATTTTGCTGGTTGAAGCGAACCTCTCATCCTGGACAGCGAGCGGGGAATTGCGAAAAAAGATTGTATCGCCGTTTTGCCAGAACTAGTAACGAGTGTCGTCTGCTACTTCCATCAGCTATTGTGCCATAATCGTAATCTTCACAAGGAAATGATTGTTGCTAGCCACAGAACGCTATCACGCAGAAAGGGAATGCTTGAATATGTTTTTTTCTAGATATAAGTCAGGGATATATATAAGAGAGAGAGATGGAGATATAGTGTAAGAGAGAGGAGCATATAGCGCCGTAGGAAACTAAAGCAAACAAAGTTCCCAATGGCCGATGGCTGCAGGATCTTTTCTCGGATCTCTAGTTCGTAATATGATAGCTCTTTGTACACAGTAGTTTCTCCTCAATTTTAGTGTGTGAACGATTTTTATAGTTATCAATGGCCTCATCTAAATAGAAATATATAAAAGATGTGTGTTTAGTTTCATGAAACTGGAACTTAGAGTCACTTCTTGTATAGGGCACTTAAGTGTAGGCTTTGAAAAAGGACCCTACTTTGGGGAGTTTTTTCTTCTTTCTCAATAAAATAATGCAACATGTTTTTTAATAGAAATGAATGCCGAAATAGAGTATAACAGGGTACCCAAATTTAAAAAAAGATTGAAGGTGGTGTCTTTTTTTTATTCGCATCGGAAGTTTTTTTTGTTTGATTTTTTTCCCATGTTTGCCTAAATATATCCCGACTATCGTATCACTCAGATACCTTATTTCTTTTAAATAATAGCCGTATATAAGTAGAATACTACCTGCAAATTATATGATAATGATTAAATTATTTCATGAGATACAGGCCTCCAAATTTTACCATTTGTCGTTTGAGCTGGCATGTTTAACGATTTTTAGAAAAATACATCAAACATAAATAATATTGCTTTATATTACAAGCAAGCTGTACCCATAGTTTGCGTCTAAAAAGTATTAGAATTCTCCTAATGTTATCGTTTTAGTCATTCCCTTTCAAGCGGGCCCCCTCCATCAGTGCGCATTAATGCAACTGTCCACCTCTTCATGCCTTACAACTTTTCCTGTCCCCAAATCTTTTTTCTGGTCAAAACTAAGTTTGGATTTGTTTATACCAGACACTAGACAGTAGCATATAAAAACATCAGTTGATTTAAAATTGTCGACCAGCCACCCTTTGGTCAATCTTATCAGAAATCACCCAGCACAACCTTGTCATTGTTGTGTTGTCCATGCAGTGCAAAGGGGAATAAATAAATTGAATAGAAAATTTTTCATAACTATATGCAGTGATGTGATTGCTGCGCCATTTGCGCCAAACTGCGCCAAGGGGCTAACCCTGCTACATCCTGCTACATTTCACCGAAATATGGCTAATCTGCGCCAAGCCTGCGCCAAAGGACCAATTTTGGTCGCCTTTCAAAAACGAAACTAAGAACCGTAATTGAGCATGCATGAGCTAGGTGGCACAAGACGCCGCCCGACACAAAGTACCCTGCATCGATCGTCTATTCGGTCTTGCATGATTTTTCCCGTCGTCTTGCGTTTCGCGCTCTCGTCTCGGAAATCTCGTCTCGCGCCTTTTTCTTTTCTTTTTTTTCTTTTTTTCAGCGATAGACGTGGGCGTGTGCGGACGCTCAGACGTTAGTGTGCCGGGTTCCAGCCATGGCGTCATGCTGTGAAACAGAACCACGTTTTTGCGTGGCGAGAGTTACTTTGTGAGCTGAAGCGCTCGCGCGACCACAGTCGCCGTGGTCGCGCGATGTCGTGTGTTGCCGTCCCCACGTCGCTGCAGATATGGCGCTTTCTAAACTGAAACGCATCGACATTCCTGCTCTTGTTTAAATCATACGCTGCTATAAAAATCCCTCTTTAACTCAATTAATGCTTGGCGAAGTTTTGATTACCTAGGTTTCTCTCGGTGGGCTTTCTTTCGAGAGGGACCCCGGTACGTGAAAAATCTGCCGCCAAAGAAAGTTAATGACGAGAAGCAAGCTAAAGCAACGAAGGCAATGTCTGCACGCTGAACCCGCACAACGCGCTTGTTTGTCTCGAGTTCAGTCGTTGCACAAAGCGCTTCAAGAACTTTTTGACCTTGATTCGTAATGTCTTGCATCGATACTCTCAGGTTCTTTTTTCCGGTGTGTTTAGCCTGTACCTCGCCTGCCGGCCTGGCAAGCACGCGCCGCTGGACTTTTTATTGTCGTATGCTGGGCAGTTACATTTTGCATACTATTTTGGGAACCAGTTGGCGACGGAGCGGAGTGGCGTGGTTTCGGTTTCGGTCGAACAGCCGTTGTCTCCGCTCGCGCGGCGAATCACGTGTAACTGCAAGCCTGCCGAAGTTGCCCCCACGTGCATGTGAACATGATTGCACGAGATGCAGCAGCCGGGACGCTTGCAATTCATTGTTTTAGGCCTGGTTCGCACTTACAGCTAATCCGCTGCCGCCGAAGCGGAATCGGCCACGGCAATGCACAGTGGACGCTACGCCCGGCGACCGAATTCTTGCAGATTCGCCCGCCGATTCGCAAGTGTGAACCAGGCCTTAGGTTTGCTTACTTTTTATAAAAATCTGCCACGTCGGGAACCAGTAAAACAATAGCAAGTGTTTTTTTTTGTTTTTTTTTATTTTTCGGCAACGTTTACAGGTTTGTATACTTGTGGGATGTCTCAGCACCACAAACACAAGCAGCGAGTTCCGCCCAACACTTCACATCACAACACAACATAAAGTGGCCTTCGTTTGTCCAGCACTTAAAACAAATATTTATTTTTCTAAGAATATATGCTCCAAAAGTCACTTTTTCTGCTCTGAAACACTGTTTTGGCTGCTCCAAAAGCCACTTTTGCTGCTCCAAAACACTGTGTTGGCTGCTCCAAAGTCCACATTTGCTGCTCCAAAACACTGTTTTGGCTGCTCCAAAAGGTGCTCCAAAATGGCTTAGGCCAATCACATCACTGTATATGCTTAATAGCATTTTCTTTTTTTTTTTTTTAAATTAGTTATTTTAGAGTTCCGTGTATTACTGCACCGCGATATGGATACTTCGGCATTTGAAATGTTATACAAAATTTCTTTCCTAGGTATAGGCTGCACTTGAGGGCCTGGCTAATCAATTGCTGCTTCTTACAAATTTAAGATATGGAAACTAATTCCAAGTTTGATGTTTTGACAGGTGCCCTTCTTCGAGTGGAATTCAATGAAGCTGTCGGAGCGGAAAACCAAAGAAGAATTCTTGCACGCCAAGATCTTTGGTCCAAGCTAGTATAGTTGTTATATTTATTGAAAGAAATAGTTGTATAAAGAGTTTTACAAATTGTTATTTCCACAGTGCCTTCATATCTGAAAATTTTGAGACAAGTCCCAAAACAAAAGCTTTCAAGCGAGACTGCAAGCAGGAAGTCCGACGTTTGTTGGAATTCAGGAGACGTCAAGACTCAAAAAGGACCATTTATGCTGCAAGAAAGAAGGCCATTCCATACAATAACAAAAGCTTTAGATTTCTTGCAAATTATGGGCAGGGTCAACATTACAAATAGAAAAATGCTCAAACTGCATTCTGTTTGGCTTAAAGGGGCCCTGCAAGGACTTTTTTACTGGTTTTTAATTTGCACCGAACCTGAGCGCACTGAACGTAGTAACTTAATGAAACCTTCCTTTTCTCGAATTTCGCTTTAGTTTAAAAGTTATAGGCAAATTAAAATTACAAAAACAAGCAACAAATAACCTCCTTTATGACGTCCTTGGTTGCTTGAGTGGCCGTGAACTAGAGGAGGGGTAGTGGGCTAGCGAGCGCTCATGGCTGCCGCACCCCGTGTCGACGGCTCGAGAGGGCACCACTAAAGCATGTTCTGGATAAGCTGTATGAAGCGGGCAGCCAGGGCGGCTCGCGTTGCATTTGCTGCGCGATTAAACACTGATTCAGCATGACAACACTTCATTGGCCACAAACGACAGCAAACACGGGGTAAATATCAGTTCAGAACGGGAGCCACTTTGCGCTGCCATACCGGGAAACGGCCAAAAAGCTAGCCAAGCTTGCGCCGAAGGCCTTCAGAACGCTTGAAACCGGTCGGATCCTCGAGTCCGTAAACGACCGCAGCACCGCCGCATACATTCGGGACCTTTCTACATTTGCGCCCGTGGGAGCCTGATCCCACTATCCCTTTCTAGTAGTATGCGCCGCCTTTTTTACCGCTGGTTGGCGGGTATGTCGACAGGTCATTTCTGGTTTCCGGACTTTATAAACTGCTCTTGTTTCTTTTCTGATCTAAAATACCGAACAAAAACTGTTTTCATCAGTAATTGAAACTGTTCGCACCACTTATATTTTGTATTTCGACTAAAAAGAAGCTTTTAGCGGCTCTGACCAATAGTAAGGCCAGGGCCAATTACCTCACATTTCGCGTGCTTTCGGTATTGCGAGTCGCCCCCGTCGGTGGAGGAGGTTTCCGCGTCATCCGGTTAAAATATGACGCACTGATATTTAGTTACTCTCTCTGTGCCCGCTGGCTTGCCCGAACCCCAAGAGACGTGGAAACTGCAAAAAAGGTAGACGCTTAAATACGATTGCAGGGCCTCTTTAACAATCCAGGTGGCTTTTTCCAGGACTACAACTTGGATAGATTGGAGGCTCTGCAAGAAGGTATCCTTGAGACATCTGATCATACCAACTGTCCAATCTTGCACCATGCTGAATGCTCGTTTCTAGAGTCTTGTTTGACGTTCATACTAATTTGCCTGCAGATACAGGCAGAGGTTCAATTTAATTTTACAGCGGAGCTGTTAAGGGCTAGTTTTCCGTGGATCGTGTCCCCCACAAAGAAATGTCGACACAAAACTCTGTTTGCCGCCGTCGCTCATAGATGGCAGTAGCTGTTGTTGTTTGTTTGTTTATTGTGGGGTGTCGGGAAGGGGGGAACGGTACCTGTCCAAAGTGTTGTGTTTGCCGGTTGTCTGCTTGCCGCCGTCGCTCATAGATGGCGCAGCCTTTCGAGCCTTTCCACTCTGGTTTGCAGACTTGCAGCCGGCCATTACTTCATTCCCACCATAGTACAGCTTCGCTGGTCTTCCTTCTTCACCAAAGTGGAAAGGCTAAAAGTTACAGCGGAGCTGTTAAGGGCTAGGTTCCCCAGGATCGTGTTCGTGTATGTCGACATAAACCTACCTGGACAGCTACCGCCATCTATAAGTGACGGCGGCAAGCGCACAACCAGTATGGTTTCCGCCGTCGCTCGTAGATGGTGACAACCTTTCCAGCTATAATAGAAGAATGGATAATAGGGCGCGTTGGTGGGAATTCATCATAGGAAACAGTGCAAAAAACAGACGACGACGTAGAAGAAAGCACACAGTGTATCGAGTATAGCTCCGCTGGTCTTCTTTCTTCACAAGAGGAAAGGCTGAACGATTTTTGTTTAGTTTTAGTCTTGATTCCCTCGAAAACACTTGTCTAAAAAGTCCGGACATCTGCATTTTTTTACATATAAATTTATAGAATATTTTTCTCTTACAGAGTTTCTAGTCGGCAACATAAGGTGTTTCCATATGCAAGTGTACATTTCAGCAGTGGGGTGCAGAAATCTAGATAGTGAGGTGAGAATTGAATAAACTATCAAGTTTTTATCTATTTTTGTGTTCAGAAATTGTCATATTCCGTTTCCTATTGCATATGTAAAGATTAATACTATATGAACAAATTTATTTTTCCAAAATTTTAATATGAGGGTTTTGAAAATATTTTACAGGTACAAAATTTCACAACTGGGGGTAGTATATGCTTTTCTTACTAAGGTGAAAATATTTTTCAAATTATGAAATTCACAAAAATTAGGCCTTTGCTAAAAGTAAGTAGTTTACAACATATTATTTTGACAGTTTGCCTCTTTATTTCGTTTCATTTATTTTTCCCTCGTGGCCTGAAGGCATTACAGAGAGGAGTGGGCACTGTAGCATAAATATAAAACTAAAAACAATAAGAAGGTGATGATACAAAATTAGTATAGACGTCATTTAACAAATGAGTAATTGCAGTTCGAAACCACTGGTGCTAGTAATTGTAACTATATGACCTCTACGATCTGCAGTGAAATCGGGGGAAACGTAGTATAGGAATGAGATTGGTAAATGTTTGCCGCAAGAGCCTAGTTTTTTGTTGAACGGGGTCATTGTTCCATAATTCACATTTGCGCCTCGGATGTAATAAGAGACTGTAAAGGGGTCTGGCAATCCTGGCGTCTTACCAGGAGTCTTTTACAACAGTCCCACATGAATGCCCACTCCCGAGAGATCGCCTTTTTGGGCTGAATGTCTATAACGAAAATTTTAAGACAACAAGCCCACCCCCCCCCCCCCCACCCCCGAATTTTCGCTGGATATCGACCACGTAATGTCGGACGGGAATCTCAAACCACGCGATCTGCGGTATTGAACCACGCGATCTGCGGTACGTGTGACAAGCGTGTGTTTGCCGTGGTTTCCCTCCAAGTTATTGCACCGCGACATGCAAATCTGCTGCGTCCACAATTTGTGGTATCTGTTCCCAAGGCATGCAAATTCATTGCTCATTCTTGCGTTGTTGTTTTTTTTGTTTGTTGTGTTCGTCCACTGTTTTCATGCGTGATATTGGCTCCCGTGATATGCAAGTTTGGGATGGTTTCCTGTGTTTATCGCACGGTGAAATGCAAATTCATTGAGTCAGCAATCTGCGGTATCAGTTTGTCACCCACCCTGTATTTTTCACTATTTATCTCTTCACTTTGGGTGGGCTTTCCTTCCGAGCTTTACGGTACAAGTCTGGGACTTCTTTTGTGTCATGGTGTAAACATTATATTCAATGTCTAATTCTAGACTACACCTGCCAGTGTGCAAGAGTTTTCCATTTTGGTTGCCGGTAATGATGAAGCATGCTACACCAACCATGCCCAACAAAAGCTTTCATTTTCTCAGGACAACACCACAAGACTTAACCGTAGTGTAAGGAAGCTGTCATAAATTTTATTAACCCTTTGCGTTCACTTCAAAATGAAAAGCCATTGGATCATTGGATGGTCTGGTGTGTGCTTGTACCCGTGTGGACTTGTGCTAAACTGCATCAAGATTCATAGTCTTTCCCGTTGCCATGTGAAAGAGAGCAGCATGCCTCCTTCAAATTGGTGCCACTTGATGTTCTCTTCAGTTGTTTTCATACTGGATTGGCTCAGAAGATGAAATCATCTGTGCAGTGGAAAGACATCATTAGATTATGAGAATTTACGTTGTGTGCAGCACAATGAAAGGTGCAAGAGTAGAACTCTGCTTGCCGATTTATTCGCGCAGGTGCTAGTGTAAAGAGGGCTTTTTCTAAAGCCATGTGCTAGAGCTTGTCTACTCTACAATGGTGCTCAGAATTGCTGAGATAAGTGCATATGAGCTTCGCAGAGCTTGTAGGGTGGAGAATATAAGGACAGACACTTTCCTTTCTAGAGACGGCACAATGTTACCGTTGCACCCATCTGCAAGAGCAAACTGAAACCTCTTGCGGCAAAGAACTTATATATAACGCAGTCATCACCCGACGTCGCCAGTGTAGGACACCTATACGGTCTAAGCTCGTTATAACAGACCTTTATTTTGACCAAGATTTCGGTCTGTTGTAAAAAGAGTATGTTGTATGCAGATATGAAATGGTAGGGGGGTAGAGGGAAAACCAAGCGAACTTCACAAATCTGTATGTTATATCCAAATGTCTGTTGTAACCAGGTCTCTTGTAATGAGCTTAGACTAGTAAACTACTAGATGAGGTGGGAACTACAAAAAATTAAACGAAGACAGTTCGCGTAGGAATGTGAAAGCATTCCTACATGCAGGGCATTTCTACAAGTAGCACACCATGTCTTCCTCTTTCACATGGAGCTCCGGCGGTGACATCACGTTCCCCCACTGCACAGGCACAGCGCCCTGCCGGTTCCACAACTTCTGTGACGATGCATTTGAGTTGCTGTGCTTTTGGCCAATGGGAGTTCAGGTGCCGTTTTGGCTGCTACAGACATTTTTGGCTACAGACAACGCAGGCTTCGCTCCACGGGAAAGTTAATGCTTTCACATTAATAAAGCTTCTCTACAAGTGCAGTTGCCTATTTGATATACGAGTACAACTACAGCTAATGGCCTGGGAAGGCACAGTCCTTACGTGAAATTTAGGAGTTTTTGGTTTTCTCCTTGGAAATGAACTGAAAAACATCGCAGGGAGGGAGCATTCACACTTTTCACACCACACAAGGGTAACATAATTACAAACAAGGCTGAGGCTGGGGCAAGAGAAAAACAGCACAAACCCAAAGTTTCAAGTGTGGTCCGAAATTCATTTGACAAGAGACTGCTTAAATAGTAACCAAACACAAAAAAATGAGGAAGAAACAGATGATTACAACCACACTCTTTCCACAAATAGGGATGCAGCACCTTAAAGGCTTAGCCAAACAAAACAGGTAAAGAAAACCTTTCCGTTCTTTCCTCCAGCCTGGACTAAACAATGAAAATAAGCCAAATCACAACCTTGAGGACAAACTTGCAGAAACGGTCTAGGCATCTATGTCAAGCATAGAAGTACCGTATTTCGCAGTGTATAGTTCGCAGACTATACATGTTTACAAGTTTAAATTTTACTCAGCACGGACATTACAAGGTTTTGTATTTACCTGGATCGTTCACTGCGACAAGACATGAAGAATTTTAATTTATGTATGATACAAGCTCCTTTGTGAACAGCAGGCATTTGTCAAGATGTGCTGTGTATGATTATTTCTATGTTTGGATTAGGCACGAAGTGCACATTATGCGTTAGGTGTGGTCTATCTAAGGGAAATCTTTCAAGCCGAAATCGGCCCCCGCAGACTACACACCGGGTGCAAACTATAGTCTGCAAAATATGGTAGTTGTGATTGTGCAGGCTGCCTAGAAGAAGGGGGAGGCGCACGTGGCACTTACGAAAGGGGTGCGCTCGCCAAACTTGCTCCAGAAGGTGACCTTGCTGACGCTCTTGTGTCCCGTGCGCTGGTCAAACATCAGGCACTGGTCAAATGGCGGGCAGTACAAGTGCAAGCTGACTGCCTGCTCACTGTGGCTGGGGTTCTCCACACGATGCAGCCCTAGGGAGTCTGAAAGCCATTGAAGGACGTTGGGTGAAAGACGGCATTTGCTGATCAATCTAAGAAGCAACATATTTTTCATGCCCTGGGAAAAGGTCGAAAGCAGAGATGTTCATACCTCATTTGATGCAGGAATTAATCTTAGCTCAGACATCATTTTTTGTTTATGGATATCCTAGAGGCCTGCAGTCATGTGTATCCTGCCATGATTTCTATAGTCGACTTCCGGTCAGAGGACATGCGAAATTGGGTCGAATTGTCCGAAAGTTGAATTAAAATATGCGTGCAAAATTTTGAATATCTGGCACTTCAGATCAGGTGGGCTAACGTTTTTATAATGAGCCGCCGCGCGATGGCGACAGCAGTCGTATATCTTTGCGCGTTCAGTGCAGCAGTGCTTACTGCTTTGCAGCGGTGTTGCAATGGTTGTGCGCACTGGCACCACCTTTGCCGGCAACCATTGCGACTAGCTGCTCCACGCTTGGAAGAGCATGCAAAGTTGGAAGATCGACATCACGAAAACTTTGTCACAAAGGTGATGTCACACAGACAACACCGGAGCGCCAACTGATTTGCATCGCTGTGCCTGCTGCAGAGAACCGCGCGTGCACAACCTTTTAATATGATAGCATTGTTTAGCTTCCCCACCCCAGATTTCTTGGACTTCCTAGCCTGCTTATGCGCAGTAAACCCTTTCAGCTCACATTCTCGCTCACCTTCACACTCGCACCCTCTTCAAACGACCTGACAATCTTGATGTCATCTAGGGCATCATCCTTGATGCTATTTTCTAAGACATCATCCTCGACCTCGTCCTTGACCTCGTCCTTAGGATCGTCCTAGAGGCCGTTCTAGACGTTGCCTTCAATGTGGTCTTTGAGATTGCCTTAGAGGTTGTCCTAGAGGTCGTCCTAGACATTGTCTTTTAAGTCGTCCTTGAGGTTGTCCTAGACGAATGCTATCCCATTTCATAGACAACAAACAATAGTGGTATCTGCAGCGATTTCTGGCTTGCTCGTTTGCTTGCTTCAATGTGATGCGCTCCTGTCCGATTGAAACAGCGATAGATGCCGCTCCGACAGCTGTGCTTCCACAATCTTCGCTCATTGCTCTGGACAGCGGCCAAGTGGCCAAGCTTATGTCCTCTGCGGCACGGGCAGTTCACGGGACTCAAGCGAAACTCGGCGAAGCATTGACCCCTCTAATTTCTTGTGCCACCCACACATAGTTCGACGGAAATTTATGCAGCATAGTAGTGTACTTATGCACCGACCAATTTTTTCTCTCCCTTCGCAGTTCGACACACGCTTCAATATTTGAAAGCGGGTTTTTTCACCAATGGGCGCGGCCGATTGCGCTTGTAGCATGCCCGCCATGTAATACGAAGAAAAAAAAAATTGTTGAGCCCTTCCACTTCATGTGAAGATGGAGGACCGGCGAAGCTGTTATCTTTACGACGTCTAGGACGACTTCTTTGATGACCTCAAGGATGACTTCTAGGACATCTAGCACGACCTTGAGGATGAAGTTTAGGACGACCTTTAAGACGACCTCAAGGGCGACGCCTAGGACGACCTCGAGGACGACGCCTAGGACGACCTCAAGAACAATTTCTAGGATGACCTCGAGGACATTGTCTAGAACGACTTCAAGTATGACTTCTAAGACAACCTTGAGGACAACTTCTAGGATGACCTCAAGGACGACGTCTAGGACGACCTTAAGGAGGACTTCTAAGACGACCTCGAGGGTGATGCCTAGAGGATGTCATCCTCTAGGCGGCGTCCTTGAGGACGACTTCTAGGACGACGCTTAGAAAAATTCAGCTTTTCCACTCTGGTGATTATGGAAGACCAGCGAAGCTGTACTGGCTAGAGTTTTGTGTCGACCCACCGCTTGTCCGCAAACACGATAGTGGGAAATTAGCCCTTAACAGCTTTCCTGTAAAAAGGCCCGCTTTTGTGCGTCATGCACGTCCAATCGAGCTTGTAATTTGCTCGTTGCCGGTTTTCTCTAGGTCAAATTAACCAATATCTTATATTTTAAGATTGAAAGAAAAAGTTTTTTTCCTACAAAAATGTACGCGTTTTTCCCAGAACCTTTGAACAGGGTTGAATTAAATGATAATTCGAATTAACCGAGGTCCTTGACCTTGACTTCAACTTATTTCTCAATCAACTGAATTTTTTTTTAATACTGAACCTGGAACATACCTGAAGTTGGACGCATAAAATGCCTCAATCATATTTAATAATAGTGTACCCGATGCCAGCAGCACTTAAAAGAACACTGGCACCCTCCAAAAAAATTTTTAATTTTCTGCCAGGCAATTTATTATGGTGTCAGAAGACTACCCAATCAATATTTTGCTACACAGTCAGATATATTTTTAATGAAGTAAAAAAGCAGAACTGCTTGAAACCGAAACTGGACTGGGGAGGAGGAAAACATACAGGGGAGGAGAGAGTTGCCGAAAGTCGTATGGCTGTGCAACTTTCTTTTTCAATCGACGTATTTGCAGGTTTTTAGAAGCCACAAAAAATGGGTATCATACTTTTTCTATTTTTAATATTGAGTGTGTGCCTTAGATGATCCATGACTGATTGCATTTGGTGGTTGTGTACCACCACGTAAAAAACGGCACATGACCACAAAGAAGTGAGCGCGATTCAAACTGGCCAGTTCTCGATCGGCGGTTTTCGGGCTGCAAATTGTGTTCTGGGTAGTTGGGCTCTCATATGTTATGTACAGATAAAAACCTTGGCAAGCATAAATACCTGTCAGTGTCTCTTTAATCATGGTAAAAGTTAAAAAAAAAATATCTTGCAGCAAGATGCTGCAAAACACAGATCAAAGCTTAGTTCTGTAGACATGAGCTGCTATCTAAGAGGCAAAGGCATTTTGTGGCAAAATGTCCCAATGCCACCCTGACACAATGCCCCCCCTCACAAAATTTACTTTCAAATGCTCTTTATGAACGGTTCTTTCCGTGCAAGCAATCTGACAAAATAACTTTCTCTTTTCCTTCTCTTTTAATTCCACTGACCGAAACTTCTTTATAACAGGACAAATATTGCTTGCATAGGCTTCCATAGAGCCCATTCGGCTCGTGCAAACTGGAGTAGCATTTTCATTTCATGATGCAATATACAGTCTTGCGAAGGGACATGTATTCTTTTCCATGCAATAAAGCAGTATGGTGTGATGATGTGAATGGGACATAGGAGAAAAGGAAGACATTATCGCAGATGTGATGGCACAGGCAAGCTCGTGCAGTGCGGTTTTGGGGTTGGACACAGAAGGAACGAATGCAGCTGAACCCCGTGGGCCCCAGCAGCCAAGTAATGTCCCGGACAAACGTCTGAGGCCCGTGGGGGCACCAACCAGGCTTGCCGGGAAACCACTGCTGGCACCGAACATCGAGCCCTCACCATACGGAAAACACGTAGGACATCCGAAGTTCTGACAACACCAGAAATGCGGCGGTGGGTGAGCAGAACACCCCAGACTTGACTTTGTGTAGGTATATATTTTTCATGGTCACAGCAATGTCATTATTCAGATTCTTTTCCAATAATATATTTCTCTTCACATCCACCGTGTCGAAATTCCGAGTCCATATGCTTCTTGCCATCACATATGGAAGCCCTTGCTAACAACAATGAACACAATAGGGACTGTTTGGCCCATAGATATGTATCGATGGGTGGCTTAGATCTCCTCAAACAGTGCTCGAACTTGGAAAACGCTTTGCTTCGTGGCAGGTGTGGTCAAAAAAATTTGTGAACTTGGGGAACCCATGTTGGGAACTCTGGGGAAACCCTGGATTCTTAGGAACCCATTTGAGAACCCGGCCATGATCTAAGGTAATGCACACACTCAGTCTGTCTGGTGACTCACCATTAATATAGGCCACAGAATTGAGTGGCAACAGATTTTCTTCACCCATCTTCAGAGGAGAGTCTGGCCCTTCAGTCTCCTTGGGCCAGTCGAAGCGCACTTCCTTCAGCTGTCCAGCAAGCACCTGCAATGCATCGATGACAGCATGACACTTGTGTCGTACTGAGCTCAGTAGTCAGTTTTCAGCTTGGTCCACAAGATCTGCTCATGCTGCAGGAAAATGCACATCCAGCTGTAATAAAAGTTCCATGTTTTTGAAAAAAAAAAAATGGAAATACTCGTTAAGTGGTAAACTTTACATTCATTTTGGGTTTATCCAATAAACTCCAATATTTGAGATGGTGGTGAAGATAAATGAAGAGAGCTGACAAAGGAACTTATTGTCAACGTCAGTTCAGAGCAACTCGTCACTGTTATTGATGCATTTCTGGGTCACGATAGAAATCAATCTAAGCATGTAATTGTATTAGCTGTTGTTCTAGTTTTCAAATTTAAACAACACCTTTTTGTCTTCTCTTAGGGAGAGGACAGTGTTTTCGTAGCACTAATGGAAACTATGATTCCACTGAGTCTAGTAAATATTGCTCACAATTGAGAGCTTGGCTTTCTAGATGTATCATAAATGCATCTGTGTGTGGATATTTCTTTTTTGTTTTTCTTTTTTTAGATTAATAAAGAATTTGGAATGCAAAAAAAGTAAACTTGAATAAATGCTGAATTTGCAATAACACCCAGAACACTATAGCCATAATAATGTATGGAGAAAACCCTGAATCAAGCAGAAGGGGATTTTCTTTAAAGAGCATATTTTAAATTTCATCTACTACTAAAGAAAGCAAATAAAGAGAAACAAAAAGATGCAGAGAGAGAAGAAATATTGCAAGGTATCATGCAAGTTCCCATGTGTATTTGATCACTTTTTTTTCTACTGGCAACATAACTTCACTCTGAAACTGCTTGTAAATTACCTTCTTTATTTTTGATAAATGCAAAAATGAGTTTTGCAGTTGTCGGTGACAAAGATGATTGACCAGATCTGATAAGTGATCAATTGGTGCAGCCAGCGGCTACATTTTGTGCTTGGTACCTAGCGTTATTGAGGCAGTTCCTAGTGCCTTTATGATAAGATAGAATAAGGCAAAATATCAAAGAATGTTTCCTTTTTTTTTTCTGTTACAATTTCTGGATGACAGATTAGTGATTTACACAATGGTCAGCATTTGGTCCTCATACATTGTTGTTTTTTTGTTATTAGTCACATGTAATTTTTTTTAATGACACACTATTGAAATATATATCGCACACATTTTTGTTGAGTTGTACAAACGCTGTAATGATGAGACAATATCTTCAGCAGCTAATTATTTTAGTGCATGCTAAGTGGAGCAATATGAACTGTGGTAAAACCCATCTGTCACAAAACAGTGCAGCATAGAAAAAAATAGATGCATATGTGGGAGAAGGGTAAATTCACAAGCAATGAAAGGTCATGTTTGGTTTGCCTGTCCTCAAATGGTCTCAATTCAGATATGACATTCTGTAACTGTGTAACCGGATGTATATTGAGTGTGCTAGCAGTACACAAATGAGCACCAACCTTCATAAAGCAGTGAGCATTTGCGTGATCGTGAATGCTACTGCCCTGATTCTCGGACCAGCAGAGGATCATCAGATTGAACTTCCCGTTGCCTTCATCCACCAGATTTCTTGTGTACCTGAAAAAAATCAGACCAAGGAAATGGTTAGTCGTACATATACTCAATATTTTGTGGTTGAATTAGTTATTCTCTTACTCATTCTTACAGCACAAAGCAGGGATGGGCAGTATTTCAAATACAAGTATTTGAAATACGTATCTCAAATACTTTGTGTATTTTGCATTTGTATTTAATTACAAATTGGGAAGTGTATTTGACGTGTGTATTTAAATACTAAAACGTGGGTATTTCAACAACAATTGTAATTAAATACAATTTGGCGGGCGAAAATACATCCCTCAAATTTACTGTCACGACAATTCTTGTTTTTATGCATGTGGTTGTAAGATATAGTCTCCATCCTTTATTCGCCCATGGGGCTTTTTTCTTTTTCTCCTCCGGCATTATTTTAAAGGCACTTCCCAGAGCAGGGAGAAAACTACGTTCTGCACTGAATGCAGTGTCTCTCAATCAAGCACAAGCGTTTAGTGACTTTGTGATTACAGTGCTAGTCCAGGGCAAGAGTAGTGACGAAATCGACGTTCACAGGCAGACTGGCTAAATAAGTCCATGTGACAACTTGTGATGATTTCCAGCTGACAGTTTTCAAATTACGCCCCATTTTTGCTCGCACCAACCTATTCAAAAACTCCCCTCTCCTCCTCGCTGTCTCCGATTGGAACAGCCTACCCAGCGATATTGCGTCGACCACCTCTGCCCAGATGTTTTCCAACGCCCTAACCAATGTATAACGATGGACATAGTTTTTGCTTCCCTAATTTTCACTAAGCAATTTTTTGTCTTTTCTGTTATTATATGTTGCGCCAACGTCATCTTTTTGTCAACAAAGTGCACTCACTACCTTTGTCTATGATTGCCCTCCCCCCTATGTAATGCCCGAAAGGGCCTTTTAGGGTAAATAAATAAATAAATAAATAGATTTCCATCCGTATTTTTTCCTGCAACATTCTAAATGCGCGGGTCGTCCAGATTTTCGTAAGTGGTGCGAGTTGAAACAATAAAAAATTCTCAAGCTAGAGCTGCGCGTCTTGGTCGTCTCGGTTCTTTGTTGATCTATACCAATATGTAATCGACAAAAAAAGCTGCTTGAAGCTCTGTACTTTTTTCACCTATTACGTCCAAGCTGATTACATTTTTTTATTATATTTATATTACGTTACTAGAGTCTCGCACACTAACTCCCGAGTGTGCGATGCAAAATTAAAATGAGATACCCAGAAAGCCGTTGCACGTTCCCTGAAGTCGCTGACGCAAATTTTGAGGAATGTATTTGGAAAAGTATTTGGAGGAGACCAAATACATTTGGTTGTATTTGTATCTTGTATTTAAATGCTTTTCTGGAAATGTAATTAGATTTGTAATTAAATAAATTTTTGACGAAGTATTTTGTATTTGTATTTCGATACATATTTGCATGTATCTTGCCCATCCCTAGCACAAAGTGTTTTGCTAGTTTTTTTTGTTTTTTTTTTTTTTTTTAGTTAATTATAAGTTTACTGATAGCAATACTTCTTTTATGGAAGAAGGGCTTTTTATGTGATTTCAGTCCCCGAATATTTAAAGCACAGAAGATATAAAAAGAATATATCGAACGAAGTATTGGATCAACGCGTACGGCAGAAAAAGTTTCTATGTTCGAAGGTTCCCGCTTTTTCCTCTCATCTGGAGGATGCAGCAGCGGCTACGCCCGCTACGTAGCGCAAAACGGTAAAAAGTCAACCTCGTTGTAAAAAGTAGACCACTTCAAGTTTGTTGACTTTGAAACATACTTATTTATTTACTCATTATAAGATTTATTGTTGATCGTGTTGTAAAACATTAACACGAAAATAAGTAGATATCGATTTTCTTCAAAATCGCTAACATCGCCGGTGACTTGCGCCATCTATCGGAAACAATATGGCAAACAGTATTTATCATCGCCATCGGCCTCGCGCGTCGTCGGCGTTGGTCGCCGTGGTCTTGTTTCCGTCATCGCGTCCACCTCGTCGCCGCTGCGCTAACATCATCGCAGAACAACAAATGACCGGTATGGTGCTGTAACGACGAGACAGACTCGCAGCGCTTACGCAAGGGTGACCAAATACCAGTGAGCGATTCGTCGGACCAAGCGCCTGTTGGCCCGTGAACGTGGGCTGCGGACGCGATGCCGCGACCGTGCGAGGTGAAGGGCTGCGAAGCTTCGTGTCTTTCGCGCAGGGTGACGCACCGGCTGCCTTCGAAAGAGCCGTACCGGACACTTTGGCTCCAGGCGATCGGACGCACCGAGGAGGGCCTGAGCAAGACCGCTTCCATCTGCTCGGACCATTTCGAGCCGAGTTCGTACGCCGTCAAGTGCAACCGTGGCGCCCGTCTCAAGTACGACGCCGTGCCCACCCTTTTCCTAACCGAGGCCGAGACTGTTCAGCGAGCTGCCGAACTCAACTCTCGACAGATAGCGCCGTCGACCAATAAACTCCGACCGCTGGCAATGAAGCCGAGCGAACTGATCTTTCGGCCGACTACCCATAAACTTCAACCGCTGGCAATGAGACCTACCGGAGCGCCCAACGCCGTGGTGCCCGCCGAACTGGTGCCAATCACGCTGGTGCCTAGCGTGGCCGTCAGAGTGGTGCGCGCGATACCTGCGAACTTATTGGTGCTACCTGCGACGCCCGCCAATCCGGAACGCCTTCAGAAACAGCCGATTCCCTGTATCACAAAGCCGGTTCCTCGTGTCACGAAGCGGGTTCCTCGTGTCAGTATTCATTTTTGGCTTCCCCCTCGTCCCTTTAACCGCAGTGTTGCTTTCTCCTGCTTACTGCGCGCTCGGGACCAGACAGGGAAATGAATAGGTTAACTTTCAAGACCGAAGTCACGAACTCGGTGGACGAATTGATAGTGGAAGTGATGCGATCATATTGCGGACCTCCCTATGATGTCCTTCTGCCCCCCACGGTTAAAGCACTACCTGTAAAGAACTAACGTTACCAAATGGCAAGTTCAATAATGCCAGCTTTAAGAAGTGACCACTATGCCTGACATAAATGGGTCAGTGCATGCCATATAGGGAGTATTCACTAGATGCCACAGTTGTGGGGGCTATTTAGAGCGCATTCTCAGAACGAGCTCACATCAATAGTCTACTAAGACAGGCACTCTTCAGGTGCGGAATGCACCTTGCAAAAGAACTGTGGAAGCTCGCCATCAGCACGCGCTCAGCATTCGCGCACACAGCTATGGCCGCCAGTGAATACTCCCTATACAAGCTATGATTATGAAGTTCAGAGACTAGTTGTATATACAACAAGAGTACAGCTATACACACTGCGTCGTGCACCTCGATCGGAAATAGCTATACGCACTACGTGGAGAGCTTATGTTATTCGGGTCACCCTTTTCAGACGGTGCGTGTATCACCGGTCAGTGCGTTAACCCACCACCCCGCCTGCGTTCACGCCGCTTTGCAGCGACAGTGTGCTGCTGCTAATTACAAAACTTGACCCCCAAAACAATTGGGGACAGCAGGGCTTGGGTTGCCAGCCGGCAACCCAAGCCCCGCTGTCCCCAATCGCACCTCCGCAAAGGGAGTCCCATACCATTTAGTTCCGCGAAGTTTTGTCAACGACATTCATTCTTTATTTTTTTCCGTGCTAATCGTAAAAATTGCCAAAATCGCAACAAAAAAGTGTTCTAGAAAAAAAAAAGTATGCCCACACTGGTGATTGAATTGGGGCCCGCTGCATATGAAGCAGACACCACTATGCTTTGCCACCACTTTGGAAACTTGTAACCATTCGTTTTATACTAATTTCGCGTAGTGCGTATAGCTATTTCCGGTCGAGGTGCACGGCGTAGTGCATATAGCTTTACTCATACAACAAAGTACTTAGTTTACATATGTTAAACGTTTTCTCCCCTCAAAGTAATAACTTTGTCCAGTGATACTGTGGTCCCAGCTCTTTTACTGCCTTTGAAAAGCTAAAGGTGCGATGCAGCAATGCTTGTACTTTCAGTAAATATTGCTTAGAATTATTCCTTGACATTTATAAACTATGAAACACATGTTAGTTTTTTTTTTCTTTTTTTTTCTGTGCAATGGCAGTCGGAGAAAAAATGCAAGAAAAACGAGCAGCATTCACCCCCTTAACTCGCAGCCCAGACAAGCAAACGCTTGATCTGGAGCAATTATATGCCGCCAATGTGTATCATAGCCACATGCTGAGGTTGGCAAAGCACAAACTATGTCTCAAGCTCCCCACATTGTTAATAAGGTTGGGCTACTCCTGTCATTGCAGCAATTGGGCATGAGCAATCACTCAAATGCATGTCAAAGCATTAATTGTCACGAGCACATATTGAATGCACACGCAGTGTTTGTGTCCATTGTATGAGCCATATTTAAATATTGTCACCGCGAGGATCGCAAAGCTCAGTGACAAAATCCTCGGAATGGCATTGTTGACAATGCCAACAATGCAATCCCCACAATTTTGTCACTGAGAGAATGAAAAAGGAGCAAAAAAGAGACTAAAAAAAAAAAAAAAAAAGTCTTCTTTAATTCTTGAAGTTATGCGGTGACAAAGAAGCTTCTTGGTTAGTGGTATCGCGTGCAAGTATACTCGGGTCTCACTAGTGTCGGCAAGCTCGTGTAAACTGAGAAACATTCCTACCTAATGTGGCCTGGTCCCTCTTCATCAAAGAAAAGAGGGCCAAGCTGTTAACGACATGAATGGTTCTTTGGCGATCCTCGTGCAGAAGTTCCCTAACTCTGTCAGCATTTTTGGGGGTTGTGTTCAAGAAAGGTGACCCTGACATCTCTTTGTCTTTCAGTTATTCTCTGCTATTTTTGAAGCGCCAGTGCCACTCAAAACACCTCACATGATTCATTGCTTCTTTGCCATAAGCCTGCCAAATCTATTCATCATTTCAAAAGATTTTGTAAAATTATCTTTGCTCTTTTCTCTGGTATTCATTCTTTCCTCTTATTTGCAGTCCATGCTGAAATCGCCTATGTGCTCATGCACATGGTAAAAAAAAGTGATGTAGTGCAGCTCCAAACGTTCACAAAATGGCACCCTTTGGCACAATGAAGTTTGCTGCCTTCGAAAACTGCGCACACATAACTAGTTTGCCCACTTTTGTTCATACTACGAAACCACTCTCTGAACTTTGTAACTGCACCTCATATGTTTGACATGACATGGACAGCTTATCAATAGTATTTTTTTAGGGTTTCCCCTGAAGACTGAAAGAAACAGCTTCTGTGTAGTTTTTGTACTGGTTTCTGTCATGTTGTGGGTGGCAGAGGAAAGCCCACTGCAAAATAGTTGGATGCAAAGAGAGAAAAAAAAGCTTGCTAACACATCCACAAACATATCTATTCCTATTTCTGTGTAATGCACGGCCAAGTTGAGTATTCGAAGTGGGATAGCAAGGTTCTTGAGGTTTTGGTATCGACACACTTCTGCAGCATGTTAGGCAGATTTGGCTTTGCCTCTCCCGAGCCCGCTTTGATGAAGCATACAAGTGAAACCTTTTGCAGTGTTATTGGCTAGGAAATCCTAGGAAATAATTTCGGAAACCTGTTGACATAGCTCCAGATCACGAAAGGAGGTGTAGTGACTTGCCAGCCCACTAAAGAAAAGCGAGCTTTGAGACAGTGGACAACGGGGCGCGATGGCGACCCGTTAGTATACAAAGAGTGGCTTGCGGTAGCACGAGGTCGGTCCCTTTCGACTTGGCACGGTTTTGATGCGGGTTGACACCGAGCCAAAGGCCAAAATCCAAGGAGCCTAATGCTAGCAAGGAGTCTATCAGAAGATCCATCATTGCAGTTGTGTTCCTGAAAGCATTTTATTTTCCTAAGCAAAAATGGGACAGTCTTATGATTCCCCATTTTTATCTAAAGTATGACATACTATACTCGCTGAAAGGACAAGGATTGCAGGGCATTTCTTTCGGATGTCGAACCTCCAGCATGTGCTCCCTGCCTTCCGTCGTGCTTTGGATGCATGGGCATGCTCGAAGCTCGCGACCTGCCAAATTGGTATGCAATGTTGGAAACTTGCCCTGAAGGTGGGACAACTGAAAAACCTCCACGCTATTTTGATCCCATTACGTCGCTGTAGTATCCAACAGAGACGAAGGCAGGGGGTTGGTTTGGGAGGTAAAACCCCTCCCCCTAAATCATTACTTTTCTTCTTTTTTCTTTTGAAGTAAAGGAAGACAAATATTGAATGACTACCGAATTGTTCCAGCTAATTGGGGGTTGCAGTGATGTGATTGCTGCGCCAATTGCGCCAAACTGCGCCAAGGGGCTAACCCTGCTACATCCTGCTACATTTTGCCAAAATATTAGTAATCTGCGCCAAGACTGCGCCAAAGGACCAATTTTGGTCGCCTTTCAAAACCGAAATTAAACTGAGTACCGTAAATGAGCACGCATGAGCTATGTGGCGCAAGCGGCCGCCCGACACAAAGTACCCTGCATCAATCGTTCATCCGGTCTTGCGTGGTTATTCCTGCCGTCTCTCGTTTGGCACTCTCGTTGTCTCGCGTCTTTTTTGAAAAAATTCAGCGATAGACGTGTTCGTGTGCAGACGCCCCAAGGCTAGCATGCCGGGTACCAGCCAAGCCGTCATACTTTGAAACGAAATTATGTTTTTGTGCGGAGGGGGTTGCTTTGTGAGCTGAAGCACTCGCTCCTGAAAGCAACAGCCGTGGGAAAACTATATTTGGTCCCTGCCTGCCAGTCACCGTGGTCGCGCGACGTCGGGTGTTGCCGTCCGCACGTGGCTGCATATATGGAGCTTTTTTAAAATAAAATTAAGTACCGCCACAAGTTCATCAACATTCCTGTTCTTGTTCCTTTAAAGACTGATGTGTCGAAGCATTGATTGCCTAGGTTTCTCTCGGTGAGCCTTCTTTCGGGATGGACCCTAGTACGTGAAAAATCTGCCGCGAAAGAAATTTGGTGAAGAGAAGTGAGCTAAAGCAAAGCAGGCAATGCCTGCACTCTGAACCCGCACAGCGCACTTGTTTGCCTTGAGTTCAGAAGAACGTTCTGATCCTGGCTCGCGATGTCTTGCATCAATGTGCTCAGGTCCTTTTTTTTTTTTTTTTTCTCTGTGTTGAGCTTGTATTTTGCCTGATGGCCTGGCAAGCGCTGAACTGTTTTTTGTCGTATGCTGGACAATCACATTTTGCAAACAATTTTGGGAACCAGTTGGCGACGGAGCAGAGTGGCATGCTTTCGATCGAACAGCCCTCTCCGCTTGCGCGACAATTTTGCATTGCATTGCAGTAGGTACGGGTTTAATCAGTTGGAGACTTCTTCCATTTATTATATAACTAGTCTACCTAATACTGTGCTATTTACTACTAAGCTGGTCGTTTTGAAATAAATTTTAATATGTGCAGTTTGGTTCTTATTTAACTATAGTGCGTACATATATATGTATAATTTAACTGAAGCATTGCAAAATGTGTCATGTCAAAGGCATTTCAGTTACATGTTGAAAGACTCCCAGGGGGTCTAACTTGACTATAATTTGTTGATTGCGGCGAGCAAAGTGTTTTTCGTCTGTCCAACACTTAAAGCGATCATTTTTATTTTTTCTGAGAATGTCTGCTCCAAAAGCCACTTTTGCTGCTCCAAAACACTGTTTTGGCTGCTCCAAAGGCCACTTTTGCTGCTCCAAAACACTGTTTTGGCTGCTCCAAAAGGTGCTCCAAAACGGCTTAGGCCAATCACATCACTGGGGTTGGGAACGGCCGTGTCCGTAAATACATAAACTACTACTGCGATGACGGGACAAAGTCCCCTCCCCTCACCCCGAAAATAATTCCTGGCTACGCCACTGGTATCTAAGCACCATTTTCAAGGCATTCATAGCTGCCTAGCATTTGTTACATAAATTAGAACTAAGGTGATCTTTCCTTTGGCACTACAGTAAAAGCATTGAGCTGTTTTTCCTGGGTCTACCAAAACGTGTGCGAGCTGATCTCTAGTGAGGTTCTCTTTAACAAGCTCATCGCTAGGATTCTCATTATGTCTTGCTGCCTTATAGTTGCCTATTTCAGCTGCCTTTAACATTATTCTCGTATCTGTTTTCAGATCAAAGATCACTTTGAAATGATGAAGAAGAAAATCGGCTGGAAACTGAAGCTAAACAGAAAAAGCGAATACAGCCAGATTACCAGCAGTACAACTGAGTATCCCGAGGAGCCAAGGCATGATCCACAGGGTGCAGTGCCCACATTGACAACAGCACTAAACGAGAACCAGTCCAGTGCATACGAGACGAATATGGCAGAAAAAGAAACGGAATGCCCAACCATCGAGACCAGTCGTAAGTATTAACTAATGTAGATGCTTCCTGTCAAAGTCTGAAGGCGTGGGAGAAGGAGATCTGTGTGATAGTTTCAATTCAAAACTTGTTGAGACTGTCACCATCCTTAGGTAAAGGAGGGACTCCCAGGGATACAAGGTAAAAAAAAATGATGAATGTTTACTAATCTCTGTAATGCGAAATTAGAGCGCAGCTCTTGAGGAGGAGGGGAGAGTATGGAGAGGAGGGTATGCTCCTCCTCTTCCTCTGCTTTTCTTGTCTTCCCTCTTCCTCTGTTCTGCCTCCTCCTTTCCTCCTCCTCTCCTCCCCACCTCTCCCTTCCTCCTGCGTCCCTCCCATCCTCCTTCTCCATATCCTCCCTTTCTCTCACAGTTTCCTCGCTAAATTTAGCTGAAAAAGTGACGTCACATAACCTCAACACCAATTCAGTTTCCCCGCTAAATGACGTTGCATGACTTTGTGGCACGTCACCCATGAACAAATTCAGTTTCTCCGCTAGATTTAGCAGAAAAATTGACGTTCTGTTCCTGGTGTGATCCCCATTCAATTTCCCGCTAAATTTAGCGGGGCGGTCACGGCGGCGGTGATGCTGCTATTGGCCTCGAGATCGACCTAGAGGTGGCGCTACGGTCGCGCTATCATCATCATCAAAGGGGGGATAGGAGAACGGCCGCCCCATAGGCTCTCCATGTTCGCGCGCGAGACGGCGTAGATTCTTGCGTTTATTTTGTCGCATACTATCGGTGGGAAAACAATTCTAGCGGAAAAGGATGCGGTACTGTTCGGTGCTTCAGTGAAGATCAAATCGTGTTGCCAGCGTGCGGCCTAAATTTATATAATCGCTTCTGTGTTTGCGTCGTCTGCTCTAGGCAGACGTTGGCATGGATCACCACGACTGATGCCTGTCTCCGGCTGAACTGGAATATTTATGTTAAATATTTGTTTCTTTTAAAATGTATGTATCGGTTCATCAACGTGGGAATTAAAAAAAAAACAATAAATTCCAACCCAGATAACATAATACTGGTACTGTAGGCTGTGAAATCGCAGCTTCTATGCTTTCTTTTTAACCTCTAGCTTTTGCAGTAATATAAATATTTAGAATGAAGATAAGTTAGCGCTGTATTAAAAATTACCATGCTATTGAGTTCCTCTGCCCGTTTACTGTGCCATAGTGTGGGTAAATTTTTTGGAGTCTGAACAAATCTACTGCGTTGCGATGAGGAGAGTGTGTCTCTTCTAGTTAAAATCTGCAAACTGCACGGTTGGCAGGACAACTGAAACAAGTGAAACGAACTGTTCTACTATATCTGCCGTGACTGTAATAAACGAGTGTAACCGAGCAACGCAGTAATGTTCCTGTTATTAAATGCTTTGCTCGGTGGTGTTGGTTCACCCGCTTCAATTTTCTTGGGGAGGGCCGCGGATGTCAAGACGCTAATACTATAAATGTCGGGCTAAATAATCTTGTATTCAAACACAGTACACTCTGCAACGCCAACAAACGACGCGCACCACGACACAGACAGCATCGGCCGCACTGATACTCTTTTACTGATAAGGGCTAGCGAGGCTTCACGAGACTTTCCGATCACCCTCCGCCCTGACCTAACGTATATAGGGATTGGGCAGTTCATCAATTAACTTTCAGATTATTCAAATAATGCTTTAATTGCAATTCTTTTTGCTGGTCAACTGGAGTTTTGTGCTGGAGAAAGTCAACAAGAAGTAAAAAATGCCTGCTTTAATATTTTTTACGTCTTTATTTCTTTTGTGACACAGGCTTGCACGGTAAAATACTTCAGCGTGCTTGTCATTTCCCCGAGGGTGATTATACTGTTTAAAAAATAACTTAAAAAAATACTTAATTTTAAAAAGCTTCCCGTGTTCATATTTATGTGGGACTCACAATGTGAAGTTTAAAATAGGAATGCAATATGCCATGTATGACATAGTAAAACCAGTAAAAAAATGTGTGTAGTTTTAACTTCTTTCACGCGATATGACCGGCGAAAAATCAACATACGGATTTATTGATTGATTATTCTATTAAAGGATAGCGATCAGTCGGGTTAATTTTCTAATCAAATCACAGAACCATTCAGCATTCAATGCTTTATGAAAGCCACGGTTTGTGCGAGATGACAAAAATACGTGGAGCCAGCTATTGTATACAAACCAACACACTAAGATTATGGAAGCTTCCGACTTAATAATAATCGCTTTACTGAATTTGTACGCATGTGAAACGATACAACACAACCTTTAGTAAGAAGAAAGGGCAACAAAAACATAAAACATTTAATAAGGAATGTCAAGCTCAGCCGGAAACGGGCTTGCGTCGTCGAGATCCATGCTTCTGAGCGTGCGCCCGTAGCAGACGACGCACGGCGGCATCCCCGCTTTCGCGCGTTTCCAATTTCGGCCGCACGGTGGCGACACGGTTCGATCTCGAGGCGAATACGCGTAAACAGGCACCCAAGAACTGTGCTCTAAAACAATTTGACTAGAGACGATGTCAACAGGAATGTGGCTGTCCATTTTGAATGGGGGTCATATCAGGAACTCGAGGAAATAGCAGCAACCTTTTTATGAATTTCTTCAAGCAGCACAACTTGCCATTACACTTCTCTCAACATAGCATGAAAGGGGCTAGTGTGACCTCGAACTTAGGGGTATTACCGTGCTAGTATGGACCTTTTCAGAAGATCATTGCCATCTACAAGGGCGACCCAAAAGTAACCAAAATTAATTTCTGAAGGGCGGGTCGTTTGCAGTACCGGCTTCCACCGCTAGTAGGGCTTAGCGATCGCTCCTTTTGGGTCAGTTTGCCAACCGGTGTCGTCTGCTAAATTTCCTCAAGCGCCTCAAAGTCATTCCTCATTTTCTGCAATGTCTAATTTGAAGGAACAGCGTGTGGCAGTGGCATAGCCAGAGGGGAGGCTTAAGGGGCTTCAGGAAAAGCAAACCAGAAGTATTGAAGGGTTGCATACAGGTAATTAATTGCACCTGGTTACGAAATACTCTAAAAATATAACTATACGTGACAGATACTGAAGTCTTTTTGTAACCTGAAAAACGTTCATGTAGGTGAAAGGTTAAGACGGAGGTGGCCAAACTGTGGCTCACGAGACTTGTTTGGCTTTTCGCGGGTCCCAAGTGTGGCTCGCCGCTCTCTGGGAAGCGTGTCCATATTGGGATAATCAGACTGCTGTGAGGCACTTTGCTCAATAATGACTACGGTAAAATCAAAACAGCTTACAATCGTGATGGACGGACACCTAACTTAGCTGCTCAGGACTGCAACGACGTCATTTGAGCCGAACTTCAAGATGCTTCTCTTATAAATAAGGATGCACAATAAAAAAGAAAATTACGTAAAAACAAAATGAGCCGTTGCTGTACAGGTGGAATTTGCTGTGACCACCATCTGACATAAAAAAAAAAAAAAAACTGTTTTGCTTTTTTTATTTGCAACTCCAATGCCCTATAGATGGCGGGGGAGTAGTCCTAAAATGGCGGAAGAGACAGGGATAGATCCTCTGGGATTTCCCATGCACCTGCTTGCCGGCAGTGGACGGTTTGCTGAAATGAATTTATTTGGCTGTAAATACGAAGCGGTTGGGGCAGGAGAATATCTCAGGCGATGGAGACGTTGATTTGATTTGATCAATGTTGATTTATGAAAGATGCTATTCAGAAACAACAATTCCTATTTGAGTGCACTCACTTTTTCCGTTCAATCTGCTTGGTGTACGAACACACCGACCAGAACCTGGCAGTAACATTGGCACCAAAACCTACAGTCCCTCTGGCTTTTCGTTCGTCCTCAAAAGTTGTGAATACTGAGGCGCCTTTCTTGTTCTCTTTTGCGTGTTTGCTTTGCTAAAGGGGAAAGGGTGGGAGGAGGCCTCCTCTCCAGCATTCGCTCTGCTAAACTGGAAAGGGGTGAGAGGAGCTTTCCCTGAACTCTTAACTTGTCACTGCCTATAGGTTGTTGTTACTGAAAGTGAAACTAATCACAGTAGCTTTTGTACCTCGTATTAATACTACAAGTAGTTACTTTATGCCCTGCCGGCACCCAACTACAGTCGTACCCGTTTATAATAGACCCTTTCAGACACGCATACTACCAGTTCGATATATCAAATAGTTTGTTATATCGGAACTTGCATATTTGGAATTTGAGTGCCGGGAGTTTGAAATACAACATACTGACAGTAAATGTGCAGCAAACACTTGTGTGTAAATATTTCGGTGGATCGCGCAAAAAAATTTTAATTCAATAAAGCGTAACTGATAATGCACTAGGTGGGCTGATAGATAAAACGGGAAGCAATTCCAGTTCAACTGTTTCTTCTGCTGGGATGTTTGCTGCATTGGAGCATCTAGACTTGCGCGAATTAGATAGAAATCACTTTCCCTTTGCACTGAGAAGTTACGCGAGGTACACCGATTACAAGTGAGCCACAAGCGTCTGTGCTTTAGGGTTAGCAGTTTGGCAGGCATGTTCTAGAAGGAGATTTTCTTCCTTTGATGCCAAAATCAATGAAACTAGCGGAACCATAGAGGAGCACGCCACATGCTTCGTGCGACTAGAAACAACTACCGTAAAATCCCGAGAGATAGCCTACTAACATCAAGAGCAAATCGGGTGAAAATATAGAGTGGGCTTACTTCTGGTGTACAGTCAAGAAAAGTTAAAAAATTGCTATTTTTAAGTCGCGTCCCTCGCAAGCTTGTTCTGATGGCGAGGGGCAACGAAGAAAGGATGACTGTACTTCCCAGTCAGCAATGTTCGCTTAACTATACCTGTTTTCACCTCAAGAAAAAAGTATGTTTTGCACATTGTTCCTACGCAGCGCGAAATAGTTCTTACGAGATTCAGTTGTCGGAAAAAAAAGCGATGCTTTTGGTGTTTGCAACGTGTACGTCTTGATAAGATAACATATATCTAATCTAAAATTCACCTACATATGTCTTCATTATTCACATAAAGTGGGAAATTAGTAATGTTCCGCGAGGAGCCGGACTTGTTTTACTTCGGTCTTGAGGTGAAAACAGGTATAGATGCGTTTATGCTATGGTCATCATTGATCCTATCACTACTCTTACTAGGAGTGGGCTATTTTTCGGTGCCTAAAAAAATATAGCGAATCAAGCCAAAAATAGGGGTGGGCTATCTTTTGGGGGTCGGGCATCTCTCGGGATTTTACTGTAAATTCTCGTTGTGCGTTTGTATGTTTGCACGCATAGTAAACTCCAACAAGAAAAAGATTCATGCTGAAGCTGATCGAGTCATTCCATTGGCTCGAAAACAATTCACACATCGGTGCAGCAAGCCATACTAAAATATATTTTTTTTAAATAGTACTGTTGAGGCCGGTTATAACGAAGTCGACGAGAATCGGAAATCGCTTCGCTTTATCCTCTTTTTCGTTATATATGAACTCGTACAAATAACATAAAGAAAGAAAAAATAATGGGTTGTCACGGGCACATGTTTATAGAGCTTGCAGAAAGCTGTCGAGGCTTCCCTGCACGCGTCCTCTGCTAGATCGGAGCCGCTTCTCGCCAACTGCGAGAAGCTCAGATCGAAAAAGGATCCTGCTACGTATGGACCGTGTCGGCAGCTGTGATGGCCCTGCAGATGATGCCGGCGGTGGACGGCATTCTTTACATTTATGCGCACTCCGTCGAGGTTGGCACACTTTTGATTCAAGGAGTTTGCCTTCGTCTTCCCCGTTAAGGTGCCGACGATGCCGGGACTCTCCATCAATGAGTGGCGATGATTTGCCAAATTGGTGCTTGAGCGAAGAAGACTTTCACGCAAGAGCGACCTCAGCGACCAGACATTGACACAGATCACGAAGCAAACAAAGAGGCGTGCACTGCATAGAGTTCGTGCTCAAGCTTGTCTGTCGTCGGTATAGAGAGTCTAGATTTAAAAGATGGGTCAACTGGCTGATCGGGGTCACATGGTTTGTGGGCTGCGTTAGCAAAACGAGCTGCAGCATGCAGGGAGTCCAAATTCAAAAGCGTTTACCTTCTGCAAAAGTGTCCGCCTCTCCGCTGAGTTTCCTCACCACACTGGACACGCAACAATTAAATGCAGGCATACTTACTGCTCCCTCTCTTAAATCTAGGCTCTCTCCGTCATCTCCGCCAGTATGTGATCGCTAGGGCTCCGAACACCTCTATCAGCATGCCACGACGGCTTCTCTTCATGCAGTGCAGTAAAAACCGCTTCCCAGATAAGGAGCGGTGAGCAGACGACGTTGGAGAGACTGCCGCGTGCGGCTTTTCCAGCATCTTCTGCAGCCTGTTGTAGGTGGCTCTTCGCTGCAGCAGCAAAGTGGGGCGGTCCAAGACTTAGTAAACTTTCTGCATTTTATTGTTTTTTAAATTGTCACAAAATTTCTCTTCGCTATATCCGCAAGAGCCGCTCAATTTCCTTCACTAAAAATAAACACAAATGCATTGAAAAAGTGCAAACGGGAATGGGAAATCATGATTGCTTCGCTGTAGCCGCTATTTCGTTATAACTGACTTTGTTATAACCAGTCTCGACAGTACAAGTGTTTGTGCATTTCTGAGGGCCGTTTTTTGTTTCAGAGTTTGATATACCCAGTTGGTTGTTCGTCAAAAAAGTATATTTTACATGCATTTTCCTTTGAAATATTTGGGCGTTAGATATATATAGGGTTCCGCGTTTTCGGTTTTTATTTTTTTCAAATTTCGGCATACTTTTTTTTGGTGTTTAATTTAAAATTCAATTTTCGTTGTTTTTTTTTCGGCGTATATTTATGCCCACAAAAGTTTATCGGCTTTTTTCGGTGAATATAAAATAAACACCAAAGGACACCTGATCAGATTATCCTTGTACCTCTAATATTTGTGATCACTCAAATAATAACGGCACAGATACATTGAAAAAGAAAGGGACACTGTATTTGGCAAATGTGTGACACTGTAAAAAAAACAAGAAAAAACAGACAAGTACAAACAAGTCAGATATGGAGCCTAGGCCCAAAATCATGGAACTTCACCTTCTGTATATCAGGATTATGTGATCTTATTATAGTACACACACACATGTACTTTCCCAGGTTCTCCTTGTTGACCCGCCATCTTTCTTTCCTGTTAATATGACACTGAGTTTCGAGAATGCCCTGTCAACGCTAACACTTGACAGTGGCAGGCTGAGGAGATGAAGCGTTGCCTGAGCCAAAATCGGCCAATCAACCAATTGTGACCGCCAAAAGAGACACGGTGCCTTGTTTTGAAGCACAACACAACATGCAGAACTTGCATCAAGTCAGTCTTCCTTACAATGAGTTTGAAAACACGCTGGTACATGGCAAAGTCATGGGGCATTTCGGACTTCACGTTCCGATCGATGACGTGCACATTAAACCAAAACGTCCTGATGGCATCCGTGTATCCCATATATTCGGACACGTTTCGATAGACACTGTCGTTCCACTTTTTCGCCACGGCTGTGCAGTACGACTGGAAGGTCAAAGTGACCTTTTCCAGTTAAAACAGAATTTTAGAAAATGAATTCGACATACTTTTATCGGTTTTTATCGGTTTAAATGAAAAATGTTAAACCTAACAACTAAATTTTTTCGGTTAAAACCGAATTTCCAAAAATGGATTCGGCGTACTTTTATCGGTTTTTATTGGTTTAAACCGAAAAATGTGAACCCTAGATATAGGCAGTAATTCACTGTACCTGGGCTCATTATAAATGGGTGTGACTGTAGTAATATACTCCATTCACCCTTAAGCTGAGACTGCAGCCAGTGGCACAAGCACAAGATCGCTGCTTTGACACATTCTTCTGCAAAACGAGTAGAAGAGTGTGGGCTAGCTCGCACTTATAGCTTTGTTTGCAGTCTCAGCTTAAGGGTGAATGGAGTATAGAGCTTACAAACGTTTTTAAGCACTGTTTTCTCGCTTGTTCTTATTTTTTTTTTTTTCTATTTTTTAGGCGTGCAGATTACCCCTTGCATTGAAACTCATGCTACTGTTACAAGACAAACCGAGGGTCAAGAGCATTCAAAAAACGACAGTTCACCAAAAGCATTGCCAGTTTCTTCCAAGCACAAGAAAGGCGGTCGATCCAAAACGCGGAAGAGAAGAGCCGATTTCGTGGACGATTCGGCGTCTGATACAAATCTTGATGACGACACATCTGAAGATGACCTCCCAAGCCCCTCATCCAAGTGGATCACGAAAAATGACTGCTTCCTTGCCCGGTGCCTGGGAAAGTCAAAAGCTTGCAAATCGGACTATGACTGGATTCAAAAGCAGTTTGCCGAGATCCAGGAGGAAACGTCAAGACTCAAAAACTCGACAAGTATAAGAGATCATCGCTCTCTGCACTGACAGAAGACTCTAGATTTTACCGGAAGCTGCATAGGCAGTTAGAACTCTTTTAAAACAGACAACTGTTTTACAGTGATGTCACATTAATATTGGAACCTCCGTTCACCTAAAAAAGTGTCCATAATGTGTTGTTCATGATACTAAGACAAAAATGTGTGTAATTACCTGGTTTGTCCCAAAAATACTTACTATATAGCTGGGTATTCATAATAACGGTATCCATATTAATGAGACATCGCTGCAAGTAATGCATGCAAAATAACTGCTTTTACCCTAGGAGATGCTTTTTTGGCAAATTTCTATGTAATACATATGAATAGGCTTCTTGTTACTATCCAGTCATAATGTTGTGTCTGGCAGACCACTGTGGAGACTTGGTTTATGTATTTTACTGCGAGGCACTTCATGTGGTTTATGGTATAATTTCTTTGATATAACCGTAAAATACCGAGCATGTGCCATGTTCCCATAGGTGCCCACCCACTACTTTTAAAAGTTTGAAAACTAAGCAAAGGGCATGTCAACCACCCACCCCAGTCTTCCGGGCCCTCCTAGCAATCAGGAAAACTCGTCAGCAGCCTCTCCAAGCACTTTGTTGCAGAGTGGTGAAGCAGACTCTATGTGCCCTTCTGCATTTTTATTCTTAAACCTAACAGTGCCTATCCCCCACTTCTCAAGATTATCTCCAATTTTGGGTAAGTGCTTGCTCAGTATTTTATGGTAAGTCATTTTGCTGCTTGTTTATGAAGGTAACCGGACAAAAGCTCACCGGACAGAAGCTCACCTGTTTTTTCACAGACCTGGACAAAACCTCACCTCTTTTTCTCTTTTTTGCTACGCGGGCAAAACATGGGCTGGGATAAAATGCGGACGCGATGGACATTGCACCATTTTCAGGAGAACTGGCATCCCATCCCATGGAAAGGTGTCGACAGATAAGCCATAACAGGCAGAGAAGCAAAGATTAGGGACCAAAATTTAGGTTACTGAAACTGAGTGGAGCTAAGATAAAGCTTGCTTGACTCAAGGTAAACCGAAGCACCCTTGTGCCACGCCCAAGAAACTTTGTGAACCAAAACTTTTGAACCCGAAGAGTGACCGAAGAAGCGTTCGGTGGCCTCCTTGGGGTTCAGGGTAACATTTGAAGTGAATGGCTAGGAAAATTAAATTCTTTCCATCATTGAGTGTCATAAATGTATTTAAAATCAAGGGTTATCTCAGGGTGATGTGAAAGGGAAACAAGCAAAACTGTAATATATAAACTATCGAGTTGCGATTTGTTTTATATCTTGAAGGAACGGGATTTGGGCCCTTTGGGCAAGTGCAAGACAGATGATCAATTTAGGAAGCTGTGCGGGATTTTGGTTAGGCTGGCGTTCCTTCCACCACAGCTTGTGCCCGAAAGACTAACCTACATCAGGAAAAAGTCTACAGGCGACATCGGCGACCTGCTGGACTACTTTGATTGCACGTATGTCAACGGCCCCTTCCGTTATGCTTGTGCTCCTTCTGTGGCGGCACCCAGAGCGAACTCTTCCCTTTGCCCGACTGTGTGCTGACGATGACTGGAGTTTCCCCCAGAACTGTGGAATATGTACGACGCCACTCTTCAAGATAAAGACCGGACGAACAACACCTTCAAAGGATAGAATACCGGGACCCAGAAGTTTGCCGGCCACGTCTATCCAAGCGTCTGGGGGCTGATTGAATGCCTACAGGAAAATCAGGCGCTCGTTTCCACAGCATTGACACAAGCCCGGAGAGGTGAACCCCCAGAGAAGCGGGTGCGAAAAACCACTCTGCACCTGCACAATCGTCTGAAAAATATTTTCGAGGGGTTCCGGGTACACCCAGATCTACCAAGACTGCTGGAGCTAGTAAGGGACTGCATTCGCTTCTAATCAATCGATAAATCAACTTGTTTCTACTCTAATCAGCAAACTATATGTGCCTGTCAGATTTAATTTATCGTTACATTTTAGTGTTGCACGCATGCACCTAAGTTGTCCGCCCTCGTGTTAAGATTAACATGAAAGTTTCTCCTGGTGAGCTTTTGTCCGGGTCTGTGAAAAAATGGGCGAGCTTTTTTCTGTGCTGCGAGTTTTTTCCGGGATTTGTTTATGAAGAGGTTTTGACTTCAGGCCAAGGCAAGGCAAATCTTGTGAAGAGTTCAGCATGACATCATACAAACGGAAAGCCACTATGCATGAAAGGAGAGCAAAAGTGTCTTCATGGGTGAATGTCAGCATAAGCATGCCTCGAAAATGTCAAACTTTTATTCATTGCCCACCTGTCATACTTGACATTTTATCAGAACAGAGTTTTAATACAAAAGGTAAAATTTTGAACACTGCCATTTGTGGACCAGTATTGTTGCCATCATGGCTTTTTAATTATTTTTTCTCTAAGGCAGTCTTTTTACTTAACTTGTATGGGGATAGTTGAGCAAAGACTAAGTTTTAAATATAGTAGGTTAGTGGAATTTGTGCATATTTGCCATTTTATACGAAAGTCAGCTATACAAAATTACAACATTTTCAGAAGTTATTTTCAGTTAACACAAGCTTGCTAGTTCTGTAGACCTAGCAACATGCTGTACCATGATAAAGCTTTGTGTTACCCCAAGACATGGCATCCAAGTGTGGGACTATAATAAGTAATAACGCTCAAATGGATCATATCCACAGATTTATTCTAATCAGCTTTTGGTTCATGCAAAAGCCACCAAAAATAGATGCTGCATGCTGATAAACTTATAGTTTTGACCCTTATCCTAAGGATTAAGTAACAATTTACACCAAGCATAACTTAACTTCAGTAAGAAGGGTTTGAAACACTGCTTCAATGAGTAGTTCATACGGCAAATCAAACAACCTAAACTTGCCAAATATTGTCTACCATATTTGACCCGAGAATAGAAACAAAATAAAAAAATCAACAAGCACACAATTTATTTATGTGTGTGTGTGCTTTGTCCATTTTTTTTTATATTAGTTCCTAATCCTGGGTGAATAATGGAAGTCGTGCAGCAGCTGGCCTGTGTTTTTATCCTTTCCTCATTGAATATTCTGCTTGTTTTCTCGACTTCTGAGCCCATGCCGGCAAGTTCATTTCTAGGTACAAAATTGTAAATAAATATTTACTTGTCACTTTCATTCTGATTTTGCCCTAGATCATGCAACCCGTTTTGCTCATTCCTGACAAAATTAGTGTACTACATAGCATGTTTTATATGGTCGTCGGCATGATCCTGTTTATATCATGATTTGTAGGCTCCTGCTGCATCATGCAACAAAGTCATGTGAAGCATCATGCAACACCAACATCACTGACTGATTACGTCGCTTCCATGTCGCTTTTTGTGCCCTGTTTTTTCCTACTTGTTTTTTTTTATGTATTCTATGTTAAATCTTAAATGGCAGTTTTATGCTAAAGTGTTGATTCCTTTTTTAACTGCAGAATTTTTATTTTTATTGCAAGAAGTTGGTTATTGCCTGTATAAAGGAAAAACTGGCTACAAACTGATTTTATCTCTACTCTTGTACATTGTGCACCACAAACACTAAAATTAATCAAAATGCGTTACAAGCCCACATCCTACAGCACGCTAGCATCTACTCACGGCTGTTCCAGCTGATAGAAGCGAATACACGTGGGAACTTCTCTCCTGTTGCTTTCTCTACAGTCTGAGTGGTGCAACATGACAACCAATTCAAAGAGAACAACTACCGTAAAATACCGCAGAAGTGCTCACTGCGTTCAAGCAACCACTATTAACATGTCCCAAACCTGGGAATTCTGCAAATTATACGTTAGGAGCCTGCTCTGACCGGACAAGCGCCCATGTCTAGATTAATCCAGTTTTCAGTAAAAGTGGGGTTGGCGCTCCCCTGTTTTTTTTTTTTTTTTTTTGGTAGTTGACATACAGTTATGATTATCATGATACTATTACGAAATTGACCTCGGATTTTCTTGTTCCTCTTCTACGTGCCCCACTTCTAGTGTCTCCATGCCTGTTTTCCCTTCATGAAACACTACTGATGAAGCACGAGTTTGCATTGCTCCCTGGTCCCCGTTCATCTACTCACACTTGGGGACACTGCAGTAAATGTTTAGCTTGTAGCTGTCTGTGGACATCTGTTGATGGTGTCCAACCAGTTTCGCTGATATTTTAGGGTTCCCAACCGTCCCGGATTTTGTGGGACTGTCCCTAATTTTCACTGAGTCGCGAGCCCCGACTTGTTCTACCCAGTTAAATATTTTTATGCGACTCGCGCGTGCTATACACAAACTTCGATCAAGATGCTCGAGAAAGTGACATTGGCGAGGCAGGGAACTGAAGCAGTGATAAATTATAGTTCAGACGGCTGGCGCTGGCTGTGACTGCGGGGAGCTTTAGCCATTAGCCTCCTTAGCATGCAAGTCATGGCAAGCCAGTTTGGGCGTGCCATCGCAAGGCAATTTTCGGTTTCCCCGCTAAATTTAGCGGGGAAATTGACGTCGCATGGCTTCATGTCACGTTACCTACACACAAATTCAATTTACCCTTTAAATTTGGCGGGGGTCTTCCAGTTATGTCTGCAGCTAATCGCTTAATTAGTCAACAACAGTTCTGCTTGATTTTTGGCCAGCGTTCGCTTTGATAAAGAGGAAAGGAGGAGGGATTTGTGGGAGGTGTTTATTCTACTATTTTTGTAAGTAACCTTTCTTAGAGCTTTGTTTGGTTTTTCCGTTGCTACTCTTTTCTCATTAGGCTTCCGCCTTATATTGCGGGTTATGCGGTAGGCTTTCAGTTTATTGTAAGATCCCGGCAGTTCATTTTCGACAACAAATGTAACGAGATACATGACAGTGTATCGCGATATGTTTTATAGATCGTAAATACATTTTCCCAAATGATTCTGGGTGATTTAATCTTAAATCCTGCAAGCGAAAGACTCTGCTTTTTTTTTTCTTATAAAAAAGGGAGTATGTTGTAGGAAATTTTATACCTTGAAGAATGGCGAAAGCCGCGCAGAAGCGGCCACGGTGGAAATTAGCGTTATTTTTTTTTTTTTTTATAACTGCGAACACTATGCAGATCTCTGAATGTAATTACATTTTTTAGGCCAAACTCGCATCCCATTTCAATGTTCTATAAACTTTGACAGTTTGCTATCTGTGACTTGCTTACGTTGTGTTTATAAATTTTATGTCCATGGAAAGACCAAAAGAAACTCTTCATAAATATAAACACCATTCAGTTGTGTTCATTATCTCCTTCAGTATCATCACTTAAAGAAATGTTAAAATTTCTAAATTTGCAATTTTGAAAATATTTTTGTTAAAAACCCTGTCATTATTATTATTATTATTTGCGTCCTCTTAGAAAAGGCAGTTTACTACCGAGAAACATATACTTTTAAATGTAATATTTTGTTTGTACGGCCTCTATCTACGCACCAATATCGTGAAACGTATGTTGGCATTTAGCTAGAGAAACAGGCACGTCTCGGTGATTTTTAACATGCATTGGTATGACTCGGGCGGCATGTGCACGCCCTGGTGGCAAACTCATTATGGGGCCAAAGGAACGAGACCAGGAACGAGACAATGTAAGTAAAGAAAAAAAAAAAAAACTTTTACGTAGCAAGACAACACTCAAAGTTCAGTTCTATTTTGCCATAAAATATCACAGCCTTTTTTTTTTTTTTGCGGATTTTGTTTGCTGAGGGGGCAGAGAAAAAGGCATGTTGCCTGAAAATGCCTCTGCCCCCGAATTCAGTTCAACAGTTTAAAAATGCATAAAAAAATATAAGAAAACAATACAACAAAACATACATTTGTCTCGTCAAGTAGCAGCAGCATCAATAATTCAGAATACACACGCTTTTAAACACATGGAAGTATAATCAATGGCAATATTCATTAAGTATATGGGTGTTTTCATCTAAACTCGGGCACGGTTTTAAGATCAAACTTTTATTTTTGATTAAAAAAAATTCATATTTTGGCAGCACTCTTGAAGTGAAAAACAACGTAAACGGCAGCTTGGCGGATATTTGGTCTTCAAGTTATTGGCATTTGAAGCGGCCGAGGCGAAATCGGACGTTTCTTCAGCCTATGGGAGATGGCATGTTTGACCACTCGCTATTTTGTCACTTATCAAACTATTGCACTAGGACTTTTTGGTAACAATTTCAAAATAGTTTTTATTGTGCTATTGAATTGAAAATAAATTAATTATACTTTGGGAATTAGAAAAAAAATTCGAGCTGTGTTTGGTCATTTTCGGCAAAGTTAAAGAGGCACTGACACCCCAAGGGTCGTTTTTCTTATTGTCTAAAACGATGCAAATTGCAGTCAGACACGCAAAAAAATACCGCACCGCAAAAAAAAAAAAAAAAAAATCTACGTGCGCACGCGCCTTTTTATTTTTGGCGTTTTTCTTCCGCTCCTGGCTTCTCCTTGCTTCTGATTTCTGACGTCAAAAATCATGACATTTAGAAGCTTTGTAGGCGACATTTCTATAACATTTATTAAAGGCAATCGTACAACATGTTTTTTAACGCAATTGCGAACGCACCATGGCCCTTCCTTTTCAAAATACCAAAAATCGGAGTCCGGTGTGATGTCGCCTCCCGGATTTGTATGAAAAAAGAGAGTGCGCAGGCGAGCTGGTGGAAGTTGATCATATTATACATCATGATGGATTTGTATCCTCCCTTGGAAAACATGCCTCCTGGGCAGGCGGCACCACTCGCACAGAATAATACCGGTTTTTCCTGGTCCGCCGGCGTCCTTATCTCCCGCTCCTCACCTCCTTGCATAGGGTCGCCGTGGCAACAGCGGCTTGGAGCACGGAGTCGTGAAAGAAAGTCGACTCGCAGGACTCCGCAATATTGGACGTCAACGCACCGGCGCGGATCGCGCGGGAACTTCAAATTCAGTATTTGGAAATTGTTATTTTACTTCTTAAATACTGAGTTCCCAAGTTTTGAATTTTGAGGGTAATGCCCCGGCATCGTTTTCAATCGTTTCGGATAATAAAAAAAATGATTTTGATGTGTCAGTGTCCCTTTAGGATATTTTAATGAACTTGATATAACAAAGCCTAAAGTTAGTTCTTTTCATTCATTATAACCTCAATGTTGTATGTAAGAGAAAAGATTTTTACTCACATTTGAATTAACCAATGTTTCAAAAATCTCGCGAATTCTAAATAAATTTTCTCAAAAACCCCATTTTTGTCTTCATTTTTTTTATAGTAATAAGGTATGATAGTGGTTTATTATAAAATATAAATAGAAAGCGTAGTACATTGTATTTCCACAATGAAGGCTTGAATCTCGCGAAATATGCGTTGTGAATGCGCCTTCGCGTGGGCGCTGTTATGGCCAATATTGTGGCGTGGGTATGATTAATGTGCTAATAGTAATACTGGGTTTAACGTCCGCGAAGCGTATGAACGGTCTGGTGTCGCGGCACGTACGGAGGGGGAATGTACAAGGTAACCGGGAACTAAGTATATGTGTCTCCTGAATAAGCACAACACAGCCCGAATATCGCTAGCGGAAGTCGTATACGTTGAAGGAAACCGAGAACCAAGCATACGGGCATAGGTTCCCGGCGTCGGTTGCGATCGAAGATGGCGAAATGGGAGTAGCCATGGCGTTCGCGTGACGAATGATGTAGAGTTGACGAGCTGTCAACGAGGCCACGCCAGCTGGCCAAACTCCCCTATAAATGGCTCTGAGATAGTAAGATAGTATAAGTCAGACGGCCACCTAGTGGATCACGCCATCAAACCCGCGCCAGTCTGCCGTCAGTGTATTCAGCGGTCTTCAAAGGGTTCTTTACGTGTGGCCTATCCCAATAGCACTTCGCAAATAGAACGCTACTCCTGTTAACTTTATTACACTCCGATCTCAAAAAGAAACATATTTTGAAAGCACTTCCTGAAGCCACAAAGCACGCTGGACAGGTCAAGAAAACTCTGGAGAAATGGAGAAGTGGGCGACAGATGACCCATGCGAATGACATCAAATTGGCAAAAATGATGTGGCATATCTTGCTATGGCCTATTACACGTCCGACGCAAACGACTGCTCAGGATAAAGCCCAAATAAAATGTCATGCAACTTTTTGTTGGCGGAAAGGAAGTCTACGTCACGAA